CAAACAATTCTCCTGCCTCTGCCTCCCAAGTAGCTGGGATTAAGGTGCCTGCCACCACTCCTGGCTAATTTTTGTATTTTTTAGTAGAGACGGGGTTTCACCACGTTGGCCAGGCTGATCTCGAACTCCTGACCTCGGCCTCCCAAAGTGCTGGGATTACAGGTGTGAGCCACCGTGCTCGGTTCCTGTTTGGAAAATTTCAATCTGAAAAGAATAAAAACAAAAATGATTTTTTAGAAAGCCGAGTTTATTCAAACTGCAGTCTGGTTCAATAATAGGATGCAAGGTTAAAACTGTATGGTAAGCTGGGTATGGTGACTCGTGCCTGTAATCCCAGCACTTTGGGAAACTGAGGTGGGTGGATCACTTGAGGTCAGGAGTTTGAGATCAGCCTGGTCAACGTGGTGAAACCCTGTCTCTACTAAAAATACAAAAATTAGCCAGGCGAGGTGGCGGGCACGTGTAATCCCAGCTACTTGGGAGGCTGAGGCAGGAGAATCACTTGAACCTGGGAGGTGGAGGTTGCAGTGAGCTGAGATTGGGCCATTGCATACCAGCCTGGGCAAAAGAATGAGACTTTGTCTCAACGAAAAAAAAAAAGAAACCCAAAAAGAAAAAAAAAAAAACAACTGTATGGTAAACAAGGAATTCTTATTTCATTCCTGTTGGTGAATGTCTGTGACTGTATGTATGACTTTGTTTTAGAAAAGGTCAAATGCAAATGTGAGACCTTTCAAGAATGTGAAGTCTGCTCAGATAGTCCTTCTGTGCCCGTAACATTTCAGAAAACACTTAAAGAACAAGAATAGGCTGGGCGCAGTGGCTCATGCCTATAATCCCAGCACTTTGGGAGGCCGAGGTCGGTGGATCACTAGGTCAGGAGTTCGAGTATCTGGCCAAGATAGTGAAACCCCGTCTTACTAAAAATACAAAAATTAGTTGGGCACGGTGGCGGGCGCCTGTAGTCCCAGCTACTTGGGAGGCTGAGGCAGGAGAATCCCTTGAACCTGGGAGGCAGAGGTTGCAGTGAGCCGAAACTGCTCCACTGCACTCTAGCCTGAGTGACAGAGCAAGACTCAATTACAAAAAAAAAAAAAAAAAAAAAAAGGAGCAAGAATAGTACTCAGTGGTTGATGAGGTATGTGGGGACTGAGAGAATGAGAGCAGTTGAGGATTATTTTCTTCTAGGTGTTGATCTGGAAATCAATTACCCGACTAGTTACTTCAGTCAAAATGGTACAGCCAAACCTCTGTCTTCACACAGTCTTGATCCCTTTGTAGCTCTAAAGCAACCCCTTTAGGAAGCTTGATGACTCTGCCACCTCATTTGTGAAATGTTTGGGTAAGATGAATAAAAATAGATATACTAATCACCAGAAAAAAATTTATGCTTTTTTTTTTTTTTTTGAGACAGGGTCTCACTCTGTTGCCCAGGCCAGACTGCAGTAGTGTGACCATGGCTCACTGCAGCCCTTGACCTCCCGGCATCATGCAATCCTCCCACCTCGGCCTCCAGAGTAACTGGGTTTACAGGAACGTGCCATCATGCCCAGCTAATTTATTAATTTTAAGCAGGTTGGAGCCATGACTTCAGCAATAACAACAACAATAACCAATTCACCTCAAACCACACCAAAGAGCAAGACAGAGTGGTTGACACTACCTTGTGAAGTTAGCCTTAGTTTTGTTTCCCTACCTACATACTCCTCCTATCTTTGATTTTTTTTTTTTTTTCTTTCAGGCTCCTCATATATGGCAGCTTCTCAGCACAGAATTCTAAAAAGCTGAATTGTCTTGATCCTCCCAATGTCAGCATACACTATAAGGAATTGTGAATGCCAATAATCCTGGAGAAACAGATGGATATTTGAAATCACAAACATTTTTGCACAAACCAAATGTTGAGGTTTTGGGCACAATATGGAACTCAATCTTAGCCACTTTTGTGTCCTTCCATCCTAATGAGGGAACCTGCTAAGGCCAGGGACAAAAGGAAGGGAGAAAGTGTGTTCTGGGTTGAAAGATGAAAACAGGCTGTCAGAAATGGGTCACCTGTGAAATGAAAAGTTCCAGTGTTCCTAAGGTTTGCAAAATGTATCTGGGTAGGTGCAATCCTCATTCAGAGTCAAATGTCATAAAATTACTTTGGGGCCATCTACCAAGTGTTTATTTGAGATTGGACAAAAGAGGCAGTGAAACTGGCAAATCATATCATAGCAGGTCCTTGTTGGAAAAATGGGATATCAGACCTGAAGAGGATCTCAGAGGTCCTATAACCATAACAAAAATTATAAAACTGGATGGGAATGGTGGCTCATGCCTGTAATCCCAGCACTTTGGGAGGCCAAGGTGGACGGATCACTTGAGATCAGGAGTTTAAGAACAGCCTGGCCAATATGGTGAAATCCCGGCTCTACTGAAAATACAAAAATTAGCTGGGCTGGTGGCGGGTGCCTGTAATCCCAGCTACTTGGGAGGCCGAGGCAGGAGAATCACTTGAACCTGGGAGGCAAAGGTTGCACTGAGCCAAGATCCTGCTACTGCACTCTAGCCTGGGTGACAGAGTGAAACTCCATCTCAAAAAAAAAAAAAAAAAAAAAAATTATAAAGCTAAAGGACGAGTTATCAAAATTTAATCCAGCAGTCTAAAATTTCAAAACAGAAAGTAGAACAAAATGGTTCACAGGTATTAAGAAATAGGAAAGAAAGTAGAGGGCTGGAAGTAAAGAGGTTTAAAAGGAAAACAAATATGCCCTGGTTTTAGAAGTTATGAGATGAAGGTTTGGAAAATATACTTTTGGTGTTTTTTTTTGTTTTGGAGACGGAGTCTTGCTCTGTCACCAGGCTGGAGTGCAGTGGTGTGATCTTGACTCACTGCAACCTCCACCTCCCAGATTCAAGCAGTTCTCCCACCTCAGCCTCCTGAGTAGCTGGGACTACAGGCGCCCATCACCACGCTTGGCTAATTTTTGTATTTTTAATAAAGATGGAGTTTCACCATGTTGGCCAGGATGGTCTCGATCTCTTGACCTCATGATCCGCCCGCCTCAGCCTCCCAAAGTGCTGGGATTACAGGCGTGAGCCACCATGCCCAGTCTACTTTTGGTTATTTTTTTAAAAGGGGAAGCATTTAATCAGTTATTAAAAGCAGCCCAGAATTTCAGTCAGATGCTAAAGCAATCCTTCGCAGAAAAAAGGGAAATATCTGTCTTACACATTTGAGTGATTCAATTATATTTTTATACACTGTCTCTGGAATGCCACAGGAAGGTGCTAAAGATATCACTTTGATGATTTAATTTTGCTAAATACATTTAATAAACTAGATATATATATGCTGTTTGGCATTCTTTTGAATTGGTATATATATTTCTTGAATAAATACTGCATTATGTTTAAGGTTTTTTTGTTTTGGAGTGCAGTGGCCCGATCATGGCTCACTGTAGCCTTGAGCTCTCCGGGCTGAGGTGATCCTTCCACCTCAGCCTCCTGAGTAGCTGGGACTACAGACACGTGCCACCACACCTGGCTAATTTTTGTATTTTTTGTAGAGATATGGTTTCACCATGTTGCCCAGACTGGTCTCAACTCCTGGACTCAAGCGATCCTCCCAAAGGGCTAGGAGTACAGGTGTGAGCCACTGCGCCTGGCCATGTCTAAGTAGTTTGACATCTACTTCTGAATTGTACAGAGATTAAGTGTCAAAGGTGCAGCCAACATCCCTGGGCTTGGGTACCTCCTAAATAAGCCCATTCAGAATGGACAGGCTTTCCTAAATCTTAGGGTCTCCAGGTCATTTTGTAGCATTACAGTGGATTTGCTTTGTTTTCCCCTTTAAGATGTCTAAATTATTTTACTTAATTTTTGTGAAAGATTTTTGTCTTTAAAAAAGTTCTTAGGCCTGGCGTGGTGGCTCATGCCTGTAATCCCAGCTCTTTGGGAGGCTGAGGTGGGAGGATCACTTGAGGTCAGGAGTTTGTGACTAGCCTGATCAGCATAGTGAGACCCCTCGCTACAAAAAATAATGATAATAAAAGTTATTAAGTGTTCATTTGTCCCCTTTATCACAATACAGCAGACAGAAGTTATGTGGCAACCTTGTGAGATGCAGCTAAAACAAAAAAGGTGAAGCCAGTGTTGACAGAGTCTGGGATAGAGAGAATTCAGGGACAGTGATCTCACAGATCCCTATGCTCCTTTGAAACACCCACATTAGTGGTGTTGAGACGGCGCTTCCCAAATTTCCATCCAACTCATCTGCTTGTGTCGGGACATTTGTTAAAAATATTTATTCCTGGCTGGGAGTGGTGGCTCATGCCTGTAATCCCAACTACTCAGGACTCAAGAGGCTGAAGCAGGTGGATCACTTGAACCCAGGAGTTTGAGACCAGTCTGGGCGACGCCTGGGAGGGAGACCCGGGCGACGGAGGGAGACCTCGTCTCTACAAAAAAATACAAAAATTAGCTGGGTATGGTGGCGCGCGCATGAGTTCCCAGCTACTCAGGAGGTTGAAGTGGGAGGATTGCTTGAGCCCCAGAGGTCGAGGCTGCAATGAGCCGAGATCGAACCACTGCACTCCAGCCTGGGCGACATGTCGAGTGAGACCCTGTCTCAAAAAAATCCCCCAAAAACTGATTCCTGGGTCCTGTCCTAGACTTACTGACTCAGGATCTCCTGAGGTGGTACCTGGAAATCCGTCTTTTTTTTTTGGTTGAGACAGAGTCTCGCACTGTCTCCCAGGCTGGAGTGCAGTGGCACGCTCACGGCTCACTGTAGCCTCCACCTCCTGGGTTCAAGCGATTCTCCTGCCTCAGTCTCCCGAGTAGCTGGAACTACAGAAAATCCACATTTTTTAAGTAAGCGCCGCAGACCGGTTGGGAACCACAGCTGGGATTTACACGCCTCTCGTTTATGCCAGCTTCACAGCCGCTCACTAGTGCTCGCCCTAGTGCTTGCCATCGCTGCCTCACCCAGGCTCCGCCCTCTGGCCTCATCCAGGATCCGCCCCCTGCCTCATCCAGGCTTCGCCCCCGTCAGTCTCCGGCAGCTTCTCGCGGCTTAGCAAGCCGCTTCCCGTGATGCCTCGCGCCTGGGTGTAGCGGTTGCCGGGCAACGCGCGGTCCCTGGCGCGGGCGTAGCTGGGACCCGCTGGAAGATGAGGCCGCGAGGCCTCCCGCCGCTCTTGGTGGTACTCCTGAGCTGCTGGGCCTCCGTGAGCGCCCAGACCGAGGCCACCCCGGCGGTGACGACAGAGGGCCTCAACTCCACCGAGGCAGCCCTGGCGACTTTCGGACCTTTCCCGTCGACCAGGCCCCCTGGTACTCCTAGAGCACCAGGGTCCTCCTCCGGCCCCAGGCCTACCCCAGTCACGGACGGTGGGTACTATGTGCCAGCTCCTGTGGTCCACAGGGATCCAACCTCAAGGGGGCAGCCCGGGTGAGGACGTAATAATGATAGCTAACGCTTATTGAGCACTTACTGTGTGCAGACACTAAGTGTTCCATAAACGTCCGTTCTTTAAACAATAACCCTGAGAGGTAGCTCTTACTATCACTGTCATGTAAATGAGAAAACCGGGTCTCAGAGAGTTTAAGTGGTACGGTATCAGACCTTTGAAAATACTTGAAGTGATCCCAGACAACAGTAATGCAAAGAGCAATAATGAATGAATCCTTGCAGCCCAAGACGAAATTAAGTCGAGACAATGGTGGAAATTGGTGCCTAGGCTGCATGGAACTTTCACTTAAAGAGAGGCCAAAGGTCTATCTTACTAAATGTGACTAGGTTAAGACGCTTGTCTGTTGACCTGAATTCTAAAAACCCAGGATTCCTCCTGTGTTGAATTGGAGGTGGGAAGCCATGGAGGGAGGGGTTATGCTCACTTCTTAGGAGTCATATTTAGGGATAATTAACATTTTTTTTTTCAGAAAATGATTGTCTAATTCTAGAATTACACATTTAGTGGAAATATTTTATAATCTAATTTGACGTTTGGCTGGCGCCGTGGCTCACGCCTGTAATCCCAGCACTTTGGGAGGCCAAGTCGGGTGGATTGCTTGAGGTAGGAGTTCAAGATCTGCCTGGTCAACATGGCGAAACCCAGTCTCTACTAAAAATAGAAAAATTAGCCCGGCATGGTGGTGCATGCCTGTAATCCCAGTTACTCGGGAGGCTGAGGCAGGAGAATAGCTTGAACCCAGGAGGCAGAGGTTGCCGTAATTACTACTGCACTCCAGACTGGGCGACAGAGCAAGACTGTCTCAAAAAAAAAAAAAAAAAAAAAAAAATTGACGTGGATGACTTCAGAGAATGACTGTGACCCTCTAAGATTGAGTGCAAAACTTTGTGAATATGCCTTTTCCTGAGATGAGAGTTCATAGCAGCCGATTCTTAAAGTGGTTCATGATCTCAAAGTTTTTAAAATTTTCCAGTTGTGTGGATTGAGAGTAACCCCAATAGGTATGCAGTACTTTAAATCTTTTTTTCAGTCTTTTTTTTTTTTTTTTTTTTTTTTGAGGCGAGGTCTCACTCTGTTACCTAGGCTGGAGTGCAGTGGCATGATTATATCTCACTTAAGTCTCAATCTACTGGGCTCAAGGGATCCTTTTGCCTCAGCCTTCAGAGTAGCTGGATCCACAGGTGTGCTCCCCCAGCTTGCTTTTTAATTTTTTTAATTTTTAGTAGAGATGAGATCTCGCTAAGTTGTTCAGGCTGATCTCAAACTCCTGGGCTCAAGTGATCCACCTTGGCCTTCCAAAGTGCTGGGATTACAGGTGTAAACAACTGTGCCTGGACTATCCCTTCTTAAGAAGATCTTTTCTCAGATTGATTAAGACTCAGTATTAGTAGGTAAAAAAGTCATCAGCTGGTATCTTGAACTCTAGAACTTAACTTCAGTTACTGAACCTTGATTTCTCCAAAAAGCTCTTTCTGAATTATGAGTAATCTGAAAGAAAAACTACAGAGAAATATATTTGCTATTTTAATATATAAACAGAGCTCTGTTTTATATTTAAATTGTTGATTTGATGAATTAGTAGGGAAGTTAAATCAGTGACAAACTGGGACAGAATGAAGCCAAGTATTCAATGTCTGAAACTCTAAGTAGTTTTTGGACTGGATTGTCTTTTATTCATGTAAGTACTCCATCTGTTAATGCATTTTCTCTCCAAAATAAAGCTATGCTTGAAACATCATTATTATAGCATGTGTTCAAGGCTGTTTTTCCATTATCGGGGATGAATTTGTACTTGTCCCCACATTTTATTTTTTTTTTGGATACAGGGTCTCACTCTGTCACTCAGGCTGGAGTGTAGTAGCATGATCACAGCTCACTGCAGCCTCGACCTCCTAGGCTCAGGTGATCTTCCCACCTCAGACTCCTGGGTAGCTGGAACTACAGGTGCATGCCACCACGCCTGGCTAATTTTTTGTAGAGATGGGGTTTTGCCATGTTGCTCAGGCTGGTCTCGAACTCCTGGCCTCAAGTGATTGCCCACCTAGGCCTCCCATAGTGCCTCTATACAGGCATGAGCCACCGCACTCTGCCTGTCGCCTGTCTTCACTTTTTTAAAGGACCTCTCTTAAGACTTGTGACAGTAATAACTCATTTGTTAACTGTTCACTTAGCACTGTGCTAAGCATTTCACCTATGATGTATCTCATTTAATCCTTACAACCTCATGAGGGTACTGTTATCCCCATTTTTCAGGTGGGTAAATTATTTGCCTAATTTTAGAACACACAACTTATAGATATTAGAGCAGGAGGCTGACTCTGAGTGGAGAACTGGATGGAACATTGCAGGTGGCTTGCAGGCAGTGTTGGTGGAGAAGAGTGATAACCCTTCATCTTGAATCTGGGCTCTGTTCATTAGTACCCTGCTCTACAAGCCAGGTGTGCAGATGCTATAGGAGGCAAGAGCAGCTGAGTGCTTCTTGGACCTGATGGGGCTCAACAGCTACTTGTTGGATGATTAAGTGCACTTGCATCCTGGGTAGAAACCTTTTTCCTAAGTGGAGTTATTAAACACTATTGCTTCGTCCTTAGTAGTCTTATAGCTACCTACAAGGGCTTTAAGTTTTGAAAACAAAGCAAGATTGTAATTTTAAACATACAGGGAACCTAAAGCACTTTTTATTTTTTACATTAGCATGCATAAGTTTTATCATTTTACTAAGCACATAGAAGAGTTCTCAATTAGAAGCACTCTAAACTTTAGGGGGAAAGCTTTTGTGTCTTAGACTAAGAAATTATCGTGTATTAACAAAACCTTCCCCTTCACCTCACACATTTTTTTCCAGAGTGCATTATACCTTTTATGGGGTACTTTTTCTTTTCTTTTTTTTTATCACCCAGGCTGGAGTGCAGTGGCGCAGTCTCAGCTCACTGCAACCTCCACCTCCCAGGTTCAAGCAATTCTCCTGTCTCAGCCTCCCAAGTAGTTGGGATTACAGCTGTGCGCCACCATGCCTAATTTTTTTGGTATTTTTAGTAGAGATGGAGTTTTACCATGTTGGCCAGGCTGGTCTCGAACTCCTAACCTCAGGGGATCCACCCTTTTCAGCCTTCCAGAATGCTAGGATTACAGGCGTGAGCTATGGGATATATTTTTCTTTTGTTTTCTTTTTTCTTTCTTTCTTTTTTTTTGGGGAGGGGATGGAGTCTTGCTCTGTCGCCCAGGCTGGAGTGCAGTGGCACGATCTCGGCTCACTGCAACCTCTGCCTCCTGAGTTCAGGTGATTCTTCTGCCTCAGCCTCCTGAGTAGCTGGGACTACAGGTGTATGCCACCATGCCTGGCTAATTTTTGTATTTTCAGTAGAGATGGGGTTTTACCATATTGGCCAGGCTGGTCTCAACCTCCTGAGGTTGAGACTATGTCTGGCTGCTCTGGGGTACATTTTTCTAAAGCTCCTTTTTATCGTGAAATAATTCATACGTACAAAAAAGAATGTTGGGTGGACACTAGCAGCATTTGCTTCAGATTCCTTTTTTGTTATTTTTGTTTTTTGGCTTGAGTTTCTTTTTTTTTTTTTTTTTAAGATGGAGTCTCACTCTGTCATCCAGGCTGGAGTGCAGTGGTGTGATCTCAGTTTACTGTAACCTCTGCCTTTTGGGTTCAAGTGATTCTCCTGCCTCAGCCTCCCTGAGTAGCTGGGATTACAGGTGCCCACCACCATGCCTGGCTAATTTTTGTATTTTTAAGACAGACAGGGTTTAACCATGTTGGCCAGGGTAGTCTCAAACTCCTGACCTCAAGTGATCTGCCCGCCTCCCAGAGTGCTGGAATTACAGGTGTAAGCCACCATGCCTGGCCTTGAAATCTTCTTTTGAAAAAGAAAACATTACAGATATGATTGAAGGTTGATCTTACTTCTTCCCTTCCAGCAATAATTGCAACCATAAATTCATTCTCTATTTTTTTAAAAGGGTTTTCTCTTCCTTATTTGACAGAATAAAATAGAGAATTGAAAATCCAGATAATCATTTTTGTTACAAAGCGGCAAAGAAAAATCATCCTTATTAATAATTAAAAGTTGGCCAGGAGCGGTGGCTCACGCCTGTAATCCCAGCACTTTGGGCAGCTGAGGCCAGTGGATCACTTGAGGTCAGGAGTTCGAGACCAGCCTGGCCAACATGGTGAAACCCCATCTCTACTAAAAATACAAAAAAAAAAAAAAAAAAAAAGCCGGGCATGGTAGTGCATGCCTGTAATCCCAGCTACTCAGGAGGCTGAGGCAGGAGAATAGCTTGAACCCAGGAGGCGGAGGTTGTAGTGAGCCAAGACTGCACCATTGCACTCCAGCCTGGGCAACAAGAGCTGAAACTCCTTTAAAAATAAAATAAAATAAAAGTTGTGACGTGGGGGAGATTCCTACCCTGCCCTCAAACCTTATTGTCTAAATCACCAAAGACATTCTGAGCACCTGAGCCGTTATGATTCTTGGCCAAGAATCTGTGAATATGAGTTCAGCTTTAAAGCAGCAGGTTATACATGAAGAGAGGGGCAAGGTTGAAAAACCTCTTTCCTGAAGGTTTAAGTGGGCCCTTCCTCTGACTCGTAATCTCCGGAGAAGGGGCTTAAGGACTTTGGAGTTTTAAACTGGTGGTTCTATGGTCAGGCAAATGGTTTAGGCGTGCTGGTTCTTAAACTTGTCTAATTATAAGTATCACCTGGAAAGTTTCTGAAAGCTGCAAATGCCTGGGTTTCGTATTCAGCTTATCAAATCAGCATCTCTGTAGGCAAAGCACTAACAGAACTTTCCAAGCGAGTCAGATCATTAGCAACTTTGGGGAAACCTCTAATTGTGGAATGCTCAAACTGACTCATTTCCACTTCACAAATTTCCCCCAAAATGCAATAGGAAAAATAAAATGGACCCTTTGTATGAAATTGACTTATGGTACACTGTGGTGGCAGGGGGCAGTCACCACCTGCTGATGGTGATGCTCTGGATCCTACCCCTCTTTTTTGTGCAGTTGCTGCTCTGTGTGTCTGTGACTTGTCCCCAGCACAGTGTGACGTCAACTGCTGCTGTGATCCTGACTGCAGCTCTGTGGATTTCAGTGTCTTTTCTGCCTGCTCAGTTCCAGTTGTCACGTAAGTTTACGTATGACACATGCAATTTTGATAAAATTTGACCAGGATAATACAATTTGGGGAAAGGGAAAACTTTCCCAGGCTTAAAAACCCAAACCTGATTTCCGGTGTTTTGCATCGTTCTGAAGCCATACTATCCAAACAAATATGTAAAAAAGTAGCTGTCCCTGGCCAGGTGCGGTGGCTCACACTGTAATCCCAGCACTTTTGGGAGGCTGAGGTGGGTGGATCACCAGATCAGGAGATTGAGACCATTCTGGCTATCACAGTGAAACCCCGTCTCTACTAAAAATCCAAACAAATTAGCCAGGCGTGGTGGCGGGCACCTGTCCCAGCTACTGGGGAGGCTGAGGCAGGAGAATGGTGTGAACCCGGGAGGCGGAGCTTGCAGTGAGCGGAGATCTCGCCACTGCACTCCAGCCTGGGCGACAGAGTGAGACTCGTCTCAAAAAAAAAAAGTAGCTGTCCCTTATCTGCATTCAACCAGGTGACTGTGCGGGCAAAAGAGAAGAGAGAATGTACATTAAAAGAATGTAATGAAACCTCTTTGTTTAGAGATTGAATCACATTTCAATTTGAGTTGTAAACAGACAGTGGTCACATTTTTTGTATCAGTGAATTAGTATAGCCTAGGGTGAAAAGTGCAGTTTAATTTCACAGCTTTTGTTGTGGACATAGTACTTGTAACAAAAAATTAGATAAGAAATCTTTTGTACTTTTCTGATATGTAAATCTACCAGGAATTCTCACAGTTCGCATTGTATAGAACAATGAAAAATGACATTCCCAGCTGATTATAAGGTAAAGAAATAATCTGTTCTGAATGATCTCTTATAATTGAGATTTCAAGCCTTTTTTTTTTTTTTTAATGAGGTGGAGTCTCGCTCTGTCGCCCAGAGTGGAGTGCAGTGGTGCGATAGTGGCTCACTGCAACCTCTGCCTCCTGGCTTCAAGCAGTTCTCCTTTCTCAGCCTCCCGAGCAGCTGGGACCATAGGTGCACGCCACAATACCTGGCATATTTTTAGTAGAGCCGGGGTTTCACCATATTGGTCAGTCTGGTCTCGAACTGCTGACCTCAGGTGATCTGCCCGCCTTGGCCTCCCAAAGTGCTGGGATTTCAGACGTAAGCCAACGCACCTAGCTTCAAGGCTTTTTGAAAAACTAGCAACACTTAGAAGAGGCTCATTAATTCAGGATGGGACCAACTTAGTATTCAGAGATAGCTAATTTAAATTTAGCCTTATAGCAAGTTTTAGCAATTGATATTTGATAGGTGAACCTTTTAAGAGGTACATTGGGTTTTTCCTGTGGGAAACTATTTTATTGACTAATGGGATTTTGAGCCTATTTCTAGTATTGTAAAAATGCTCAGAGAACAGGGCAATGTAGTCAGATTAATTTTCTGGCTACCTGGCCTGTAGCATGTTTCAGTATTTGTTGAAAATCATTCTGTTTTCCTCCCTTAGTAAATACAGGATCCTGAAAGTGAGATTTTTGCTCCAACTTGGGGCTTTTTTTTTTTTTTTTTTGAGACAAGCTGCTTTGTTGCCCAGGCTGGAGGGCAGGGGCTCCATCTTGGCTCACTGCAACCTCCACCTCCCGGGTTCAAGCAATTTTCCTGCCTCAGCCTCCTGAGGAACTGGGACTACAGGCGTGTGCCACCACGCCCAGCTAATTTTTTGTATTTTTAGTTGAGACAGGATTTCACCGTGTTAGGATGTTCTCGAACTCCTGACCTCGTGATCCGCCCACCTCGGCCTCCCAAAGTGCTGGGATTACAGGTGTGAGCCACCGCGCCCCGCCTGGAGGATCTCTTTACTTCTGAACCATTAGTGCCTAGTAGAGCTCCTGCCATGTAGTGGGCCCTCATTAAGAATGAGTTGAATTGGCTGGGCACGGTGTTTCATGCCTGTAATCCCAGCTCTTTGGGAGACGGAGGTGTGTGGATCACTTGAGGTCAGGAGTTCGAGACCAGCCTGGCCAAGGCGGTGAAACCCCGTCTTTACTAAAAATACAAAAATTAGCTGGGTGTGGTGATGGGTGCCTGTAATCCCAGCTACTCAGAGGCTGAGGTGGGAGAATCGCTTGAACCTGGGAGGCAGAGGTTGCAGGAGCCAAGATTGCACCATTGCACTCTAGCCTGGGCAACAAAAATGAAACTCTGTCAAAATAATAATAATAATAATAATAATAATAATAATAATGAGTTGAATGGATGAATGAATTTCTCCTCTCCATCTCTAACTGATTTCCTAGTGTCCCTTTTTGACTTCCTCTACCATTAGTCTTTTAGGCAGACACCAGGCCAGAAACCTGGAGGCTCCCCTGACCTCTGCCTCTTCCTTTCACTTTTCATGTCTCAGCAGTCTTTTCTTTCTCCCAACCTTTCTTGAGCACCTCCTGATGCCAGCACCAGGGACGTAAAGATGAGTTAGGCACTCTCCTGCCTTCAAAGAACTTACCATTGAGTAAGGGAGATAGAAGAGTGGATGGCAGTTTCTACATCAAGCACGATGAGAAGGCAGAGGAATGGCATCTAACTCAGCCTCACTAAGAAATGCTCCCCAGAAGACAGGAGCTGAGCTGGGTCCTGAAGGACACGTGGAAGATGGTCAGCATGGACCGAGGAGAAGGGCATTCCAGGCAGAGGGAGCTGCATGGGCAGAGATGGGGGATGCAGGATGGCCTGCTTAACTGCAGGTAACTCAGTGTGGCCAGAGAGGGGTGGGGTGAGAGGAGTACAGCAAAGAGATCAGGGGTCAGGTCCCCAGGGGCCTTGTGTGTATGCTGAGGGGTTTGGACTCTGTCCTGAAGTCCACAGGGCCTGGGTTGTTAAGAGGATCAGATTCACATCTTCTGTAATTCTGCAGCAGCATGTGCAGTGGATCACAAGGCCAAGCCTGATGGCAGAGAACCAAGTAAAAAGCTATTGCAGATGTGGATTAACGGTTTCCCTCCCCACCTTCCCCAAAAGCTGTGACAGTGGGGCTAGAGAGAAGTATCTAGATCTGATGATGATACTGAAATACTGCGCAGGATTGGGGAGGTGGTTGACTGGAGAGGAGTAAGGAGTCCCATTCTGTGGAGCCTTCCATCACTCTAGCCCTTATGGTCGTCCATCCCTGCTCCTACTTTATGAGCTCACACCTCATCCTGTCAGGCGCTCACTAAAAGACCTTCAGAAGTTATCATTATCTATAGGCTTCTTAACCTGGATTCAGATTGATTCCCACCTTCTTTCAGAGCCTGTTGCCTGCTACCAGCCATCTTGAATCCACTCCAGTCCAACCTCGGTACTCAGAGTTTCCCAAAGACCATGAGTCATTACCCAGCCTTGGCCATTGCTGTTCTTGCACTTGGATTTGCTTCCCATTCCTACTGTCTGTCTGATTTCTACTTATCCTTTAAGGCCCAGTAAAAACTGAATGATAATATCCAGTCTTGGCAAGAGTACAGGGAAATAGGCACTCTTACTACAGTGTTCGTGAGAATGTATATTGTGCACTTCTAGAGGGCAATCTGGGAGTGTGTCTCAGAAGCCTTAAATAATGTTACCTGCCTTTTGGCTTAGCAGTTCCACTTCAGGAAACATATCCTAAGGAAACACCTGGAGATACTCATAAAGATATATGTATAAGGATGTCATTATAGCATTACATATAATTGGGGAAAATTAGAAACCTAAACCAACAGTAGAGAATTGGTTGAACAAATTGGGGTATTAATAGGCTGGTATACAATGAAGCCACTTAGTATAATATTGCAAGTGCATATTAGGCATTATATATTAAGTGAGAAAAGCCTTAAAACAGTATGTAGAATATGGTCCCATTTTTGTTATGACTTTGTCTCTATACCATTATCTATCTGTCCAGCTAACTATTTTTTTTTTTTTTTGTAGAGACAAGGTCTCACTTTGTTGCCCAGGCTGGTCTTGAGCTCCTGGCTTCAAGTGATCCTCCTGCCGTGGCCTTCTCAAAGTACTGGCATGGTAGGCGTAAGTCACTGTGCCCAGCCTCTATATTTTTTTGAGACAGGTCTTGCTCTGTCACCCAGGCTGGAGTGCAGTGACACGATCATAGTTCACTGTAACCTTCCTCCTGGGCTCAAGTCCTCCTACCTCAGGCTCCCAAGTAGTTAGAACTATGGGCATCTGCCAGCATGCTGGGCTAATTTTTTCTTTGATTTTGTAGAGATAGGGGTCTGTGTTGCCCAGGCTGGTCTTGAATTCCTGGCCTCAAGTGATCCTCCTCAGCCTCCCAAAATGCTGGGATTAGAGGCATGAGCCATGGTGCTTGGCCTGTACCATATCCATATCTATAGCAAATTGATTGGGGTTTGTCAAATCTGGGATTGGTTGAAGACTTACAACTTCCTTTTTTTTTTTTTTTTTTTTTTGAGACAGAGTCTCACTGTGTCGCCCAGGCTGGAGTGTAGTGGCATGATCTTGGCTCACTGCAACCTCCCAGGCTCAAGCAATACTCCTGCCTCAGTCTCTGCATGCCACCACGCCTGGCTAATTTTTGTATTTTTAGTAGAGGCAGGGTTTCGCCATGTTGGCCAGGCCAGACCTGAGGTGATCCGCTGGCCTCAGCCTCCCAAAGTTCCGGGATTATAGGCATGATCCACTGTGCCTGGCCCTGTACCATAACTTGTAAGCATTAAACCTTCCAGATGACTGATCTCAGGTGGTCCACCCGCCTCGGCCTCCCAAAGTGCTGGGATTACAGGCATGAGCCACACTGTGCCTGCCCCTGTACCATAACTTCTAAGCATTAAACCTTCCAGATGACTCCACATTTTCTTATTCTCACAGTCCTTTGAAGACAGCTTTATTCTAAAGACAAGGAATTTGGATCTGTTCTGGGTACTTTTAAACAATCTGAAGGTCTGCAAAATTTTATCTAATTGATGCTATCAGAGTTTATAAGGTTTTTATTGACATAAAAATTATACCCTGATCTACATTTCTTGACAAGATTTCCTTAAAAGCTATTCTACTTGTCTCAATTTTTTTTTTTTTCTGTTAGAGGAAAAAGTTTTAAATGCCAAACTTTTTTTTTTTTTTTAAAAGAGATCAGGGTCTCAGTGTGTTGCCAGACTGGCCTCGAACTCCTGACCTCAAGTGATCCTCCCATCTTAACCTCCTGAGTAGTTGGTAATATAGGTGCATGCTACTGTGCTTGGCCCAAATGCAAAATTTTTTTTTTTTTTTTGAGATGGAGTCTTGCTCTGTCACCCAGGCTAGAGTACAGTGGCACGATCTTGGCTCACTGCAAGCTCCACCTCCCGGATTCATGCCATTCTCCTGCCTCAGCCTCCCGAGTAGCTGGGACTACAGGCGCCCACCACCATGCCCAGCTAATGTTTTGTATTTTTAATGGAGACGGGGTTTCACTGTGTTTGCCAGGCTGGTCTCGATCCCTTGACCTCGTGATCCACCTGCCTCGGCCTCCCAAAGTGCTGGGATTACAGATGTGAGCCACCGTGCCCGGCCAATGCAAAATATTTTAACACAGAATAAACTAAATAAAAATGGATTCAGCCGGGTGTGGTGACTAATCCCTGTAATCCCAGCACTTCGGGAGGCCGAGGCAGGTGGATCATCTGAGGTAAGGAGTTTGAGACCAGCCTGGCCAACATGGTGAAACCCTGTCTCTAATGAAAATACAAAAATCAGCCAGGCGTGGTAGTGCACACCTGTAGTCCCAACTACTTGGGAGGCTGAGGCAGGAGAATCACTTGAACCTGGGATGCAGAGTTTGCAGTGAGCTGAGATCATGCCACTGCACTCCAGCCTGGGAGAGTGAGACTACATCTCAAAAAAAAGATCCAATTTTTTTTTTTTTTTGAGATGAAGTATCACTGTGTTGCCAGGCCGGAGTGCAGTGGCGTGATCTCGGCTCACTGCAACCTCCGCCCTTTTGGTTCAAACGATGTTCGTGCCTCAGCCTCCGTAGTAGCTGGGATTACAGGCACACGCCACCATGCCCGGCTAATTTTTGTATTTTTAGTAGAGATGGGGTTTTACCATCTTGGTCAGGCTTGTCTCAATCTCCTGATCTTGTGATCCGCCCACCTCGGCCCCCCAAAGTGCTGGGATTACAGGTGTGAGCCACCGTGCCCTGCCGGATTCAATTCTAATGTCATGCTTTCATAAATATCCTCCACATAACTGTTAACATAGTATAGTACAAGCATCTGACAGTTTTTAAATAATCTTGCTGAGATTGTGTGCTTATGTCTTGTAACTTCGTATTATTATTTTTTTAATTTTCAGGGGTGACAGCCAGTTTTGTAGTCAAAAAGCAGTCATGTATTCATTGAATTTTACAGCAAACCCACCTCAAAGAGTATTTAAACTTGTTGAACAGATTAGTCCATCTATTTTCTGCATTCATATTACAAACTGTAAGTATTTGACATTGATATGTTTTGTGAAACTCTGGAAATTTTTTCTCAAAGTTATGGAAAAATGTCAGATTTATTGTATGATTATGATTATTATTTTTTTGAGACAGAGTCTTGCTCTGTCATCTAGGCTAGAGTGCAGTAGCACAATCTCAGCTCACTGCAACCTCTACCTCCCAGATTCAAGTGATTCTCCTGCCTCAGCCTACTGAGTAGCTGGGATTACAGGTGCCTGCCACCACGCCTGGCTAATTTTTGTGGTTTCTTTTGTTTGTTTGTTTGTTTGTTTTGAGACGGAGTTTCACTCTTGTTGCCCAGGCTGGAGTGCAATGGCTCGATCTCAGCTCACCACAACCCCAGCCTCTTGGGTTCAAGCAAGTCTCTTGCCTCAGCCTCCCAAGTAGCTGGGATTACAGGCATGGACCACCATGCCCAGCCAGTTTTGTATTTTTAGTAGAGTTGGAGTTTCTCCATGTTGGTCAGGCTGGTCTCGAACTCCCGACCTCAGGTGATCTGCCCGCCTCGGCCTCCCAAAGTGCTGGGATTACAGGCGTGAGCCACCGCATCCAGCCCCCCCTTTTTTTTTCTTTTTTTTTTTTTTTGAGACAGAGTCTTACTCTGTCACTCAGGCTGGAATGCAGTGGCACGATCTCAGCTCACTGCAACCTCTGCCTCCCGGGTTCAAGTGATTCTCCTGCCTCAGCCTCCCGAGTAGCTGAGATTACAGGCACCTGCCACCACACCCAGCTAATTTTTTATTTTCACTAGAGATAGGGTTTCACCATGTTGGCCAGGCTAGTCTCAAACTCCTGTCGTTAAATGATTCTCCTGCCTCAACCTCTCAAAATGCTGAGATTACAGGTGTGAACTGCCTCGTCCAACCCTCAGTTAGATTTAAAGCAATTATTCTATGTTTTGCTATATGTATAGTGTATCTCTTTAGAGACCATTTCACAGGTAATAGGAAGTAACTTTATAGACCTGTGGGCATGCACATTTTCTTTAAAAGTAATTATGTTTGTGTAGTTGTCTTTTGAAACCTTATACTTATCTCAAAGGTGTTTATAATATGCAGACATACATAGGAATCTAGGTTTCTATATATACATGTTTTTTTTTTTTTTTTTGAGACGGAGTCTTGCTCTGTTGCCCAGGCTGGACTGCAGTGGCCGGATCTCAGCTCACTGCAAGCTCCGCCTCCCGGGTTTACGCCATTCTCCTGCCTCAGCCTCCCGAGCAGCTGGGACTACAGGCGCCCGCCACCTCGCCCGGCTAGATTTTTGTATTTTTTAGTAGAGACGGGGTTTCACCGTGTTAGCCAGGATGGTCTCAATCTCCTGACCTCGTGATCCGCCCGTCTCGGCCTCCCAAAGTGCTGGGATTACAGGCTTGAGCCACCGCGCCCGGCCTACATGTGTTTTTTTAACTTTATTTCCTCCTGGTTTAATGGTTGAAAATCAGGCTCAGCTTTGAACATTACCTGTGGTTTCTATTTCCTTTTTTTCTTTTATTTTTACTAAGAATATTTGCATGAAAACAGGATCTTTATTTTTATCTGAGCATTTAGCTCAAATATATTTCTAGATCCAAAGTACAAGTGCATGTAAAATGTTATCAGGATATCAAAGATCAGAGACACATTTATGCTTTTATTTGTCAATTAAACTCTGTCATATTTTCAGAATATCTTTACAGATTTTGGTTTTATTCTCTTGTGATTGAACAGACAGATGCTCTGTGTGGTTTGTAGTCTGAAGTGATAACTGGCCAGTGACTCAGGTTCTCTGTTGTAACACCAGCCCAGTGAACATGCCAGCCTGCTCCCTTCTCTCTCTTCTGTACACAGCACATTTTTCTCCAGGACTTTCACAGTGGCTGTGTGAGAGTAGAAATCGGATTCTTTCATTCCCACAGGCATCCGGAGAGAGCTTCTCCTTACAGGTTGATACAGCAGACTCATCAGTCCATGGGCTAGAGAAATAGACAGATTATTATCGGCTTCTGTTGTGCTGTTCACTTGTAGATGCTATCAACTATTACTTCCCCATTATTAGAAGAAGCAGGCTGAGTCTGGAGGTCCTGTTTATTGAATAAGCTTTAAAAATTCCTGGGAGAAGTGAATATGGAAAAAGACACTTTTTTTTTTTTTTTTTGAGATGGAGTCCTGCTCTGTCGCCCAGGCTGGAGTACAGTGGCGCCATCTCAGCTCACTGCAACCTCTGCCTCCTGGGTTTCAGTGATTCTCCTGCCTCAGCCTCCTGAGTAGCTGGGATTACAGTTGTGCACCACCATGCCTGGCTAATCTTTGTATTTTTAGTAGAGACAAGGTTTCACCATTTGGCCAGGCTGGTCTCAAACTCCTGACCTCAGGCGATCCGCCCACCTTGGCCTCCCAAAGTGCTGAGATTACAGGTGTGAGCCAATGTGCCCAGCCAAGACACTATTTGTTTTTTACATCAGCCTTAATGCTATTAAAAACTGTTTCCAAAACCTTTATATATATCATACATACTATACATATATTTTATACCGATTTAAAATACTGTTTTTTTTTAAAAAAAAACAGATAAGCCTGCATTATCCTTTATTAATCCAGAAGTACCTGATGAAAATAATTTTGATACATTGATGAAAACATCTGATGGTTTTACATTGAATGCTGAATCAGATATTTCCTTCACAACCAAACTGGATATTCCTACTACTGCTAAATATAAGGTGAGCCTGAACTTGATTGATTCTTTTCATCCCATCACAAATGTCTTGTCCTTGTAAGTTAATTTTCAGGTTACCAGCAAAACTGTCTTCGCTGAGACAGAGTTGATATTACAGACTAAATAACTTAATGTTCATGCCTACAAATCAAAGATCATGAAAATTAAAACTGAATATTTGAAGATGGATTAAAGACTTAAATGTAAGACCTAAAACCATACAAACCCTAGAAGAAAACCCAGGCAATACCATTCAGGACATAGGCATGGGCAAAGACTTCATGAGTAAAACAACCAAAAGCAATGGCAACAAAAGCCAAAATTGACAAATGGGATCTAATTAAACTAAAGAGCTTCTGCACAGCAAAAGAAACTATCATCAGAGTGAACAGGTGACCTACAGAATGGGAAAAAATTTTTGCAGTCTACCCATATGACAAAGGGCTAATATCCAGAATCTACAAGGAACTTAAATAAATTTACAAGGAAAAAACAACCCAATCAAAAAGTGGGTGAAGGATATGAACAGACACTTTTCAAAAGAAGACATTTATGCGGCCAACAAACCTATGAAAAAAAGCTCATCACTGGTCATTAGAGAAATGCAAATCAAAACCACAATGAGATACCATCTCACGCCAGTTAGAATGACGATTGTTAAAAAGTCGGGAAACAATAGGTGCTGGAGAGGATGTGGAGAAATAGGAACACTTTTACAGTTGGTGGGAGTGTAAATTAGTTCAACCATTGTGGAAGACAGTGTGGCGATTCCTCAAGGATCTCAAACCAGAAATACCATTTGACCAAGCAATTCCATTACTGAGTATGTACTGAAAGGATTAAAAATCATTCTGTAAAGACACATGCCCTTGTATGTTTATTGCAGCACTATTCACAATAGCAAAGACTTGGAACCAACCCAAATGCCCATCAATGATAGACTGGATGTAGAAAATGTGGCACATATACAACATGTAATACTAAACAGCCATAAAAAAGGATGAGTTCATGTCCTTTGCAGGGACATGGATGAAGCTGGAAACCATCATTCTCAGCAGACTAACACAGGAACAGAAAACAAAACACCGCATGTTCTCACTCATAAGTGGGAGTTGAACAATGAGAACACATGGACACAGGGAGGGGAACATCACACACCGGGGTCTGTTGGAGGGTGGGGGGCTTGGGGAGGGGATAGCATTAGGAGAAATACCTAATGTAGATGATGGGTTGATGGGTGCAGCAAACCACCATGGCATGTGTATATCTATGTAACAAACCTGCACGTTCTGCACATGTATCCCAGAACTTAAAGTATAATAATAAAAATAAAACTGAGTATTTGAATTCTGAATAGAGGATTTAAGGTTGTTTATTCTATGATAAACTTGTATTTTGTCTCTTCAGAGTTCTTTGTTCTCCTCAACCTTAAAAGATGTAGCAAAATGCTTGAGGCACGTTGCTGAGACCATGGAGTAGATTAGTTGGATACCTGGTCATCTTCTCAAAATTGTATTTAGTTTTACGGATTTTGGAAGATGTGTGCTGTTTTATGTCTATTCAGTAGTACATCTTTAAATGCAACACATATTAACTTTGAATGAACCTTAACTTTTTTGGAACCTTAACTTTTTTTAAAAGGAAAGTATGAAAAAAGTCGGGAAACAATAGGTGCTGGAGAGGATGTGGAGAAATAGTTCTAAAAGTTCAAAGTATAGAGGCATATAAGTAAAAGTTGAAAGATCCCTGTATCCATTAAAATTCATACTGCAAATCACTTTGAAAAGATTGGTGTGTATTCTTGCTGATTTTTAAATATGTCTATTATAATGTATATATGGTGTTGTACAGAAGTGGGATTTATAGCTATCCATGTTGTTCTAGAAAATTCCTTTTTCAGTGGTAAGTCATGTGCATCTTCCCATGTCAATATAAAATTTACCATTGAGCATTTTTCATGTTCTGGCACTGTGAAGAGCTTTTCAGGCATTACTTCATGCACCCCTCTGGGAAGGATACACCATTGTCTCCATTTACCTGATGAGAAAAACTTAGGCACGGGAAAGTAACTTGTCAGAACTAGTGATAGAGCTGCTGCTGCGGCCTTTTTTTTTTTTTTTTTTTTGAGACAGAGTCTTGCTCTGTTGCCCAGGCTGGAGTGCAGTGGTGTGATCTCGGCTCACTGCAACCTCCGCCTCTCAGGTTCAAGCGATTCTCCCACCTCAGCCTCCCAAGTAGCTGGGATTGCAGGCACCCACCATCATGATCAGCTAATTTTTGTATTTTTGTAGAGACAGGGTTTCACCATGTTGGCCAGGCTGGTCTTCAGCTAACTTTTGTGTTTTTGTAGAGACGGGGTTTCACCATGTTGGCCAGGCTGGTCTTGAACTCCTGACCTCAGGTGATCTGCTCACCTCGGCCTCCCAAAGTGCTGGGATTACACGCGTGAGCCACCGCACCCAGCCAAGAGCTGCAGTTTACAAAATATTCTTGGCGCGGTGGCTCACGCCTATAATCCCAGCACTTTGGGAGGCTGAGGCGGGCAAATCACTTGAGGTCAGGAGTTCCACACCAGCCTGGATGATATAGTGAAACCCCATGTCTACTAAAATACAAAAATTAGCAGAGCATGGTGGCGCGTTCCTGTAGTTCCAGCGACTTGGAAGGCTGAGGCATGAGGATCACTTGAACCCAGGAAGCAGAGGTTGCAGTGAGCTGAGATCATGCCACTGCACTCCAGCCTGGGCAACAGAGCGAGACTCTATCTCAGGGAAAACAAAAACAAAAATATTCTTTTCTGTGTATGTATCTGAGCTGTTCCACTCTTAACAGTTTCCCATTTTTGCTTTTATCCACAATGAACATTCTCATATATACATACATTTTTGTACACTTCACTGATTAAATCCTTAGGATACATTCCTATAAATGAGTTAGTTTGGTAAAATGAATGGAAAATTTAAATATTGATACCAGATTGCTCTCCAGAAAAATTGCAGTGCTTTACACTCCCAGCTCCAGTGAGTGGAAGGACTTGTTTCCCATACTCCTGCTGGCACTGAAGCATTTGGATAAACTTGCAAGTTCGAGAAAATTGGCTATAAACCTAATAGCTATTAATCTGAGTTTTGAAGATTGGGAAATAATTTTGTGGGGTTTGGTTTTGGGAAAGAAGGCATTCTTTATAAAATTGATTCATAAAAAATTGATTTTTATTTTAATGTATACTGTATATGTTATTTAAATAATTAATGCTAGTGAAAAATAATTCTCTCACCCCTGTGTCCAGCCACCTAGTTCCTGTCTGCAGAGGCAAACTGTTATGTCAGTGTCTCGTGTACCCTTCCAGAGGAGTTCCATGACTAAGAAGCCTACAAATACAGTAACATGCACACACACAAACACACATCCTTTAAAAAATGGCGACACAACTAAATGTGAGCTTCTTGAGGGCAAGGACCACATCTGTTTTTTGCTCATCACTGTGTCCCTGATGCCTGCAGTGCTGCTTGGCATGTTGTAGGTGCCCAGTAAAGTGTTGAATGAATACCTTAATTACACCATAATTACTGTTGGTTGTTGTGTTTGCAGTATGGGGTTCCTCTGCAGACTTCAGATTCGTTTCTGAGATTTCCTTCATCCCTGACATCATCTCTGTGCACTGATAATAACCCTGCAGGTAAGAAAGTGGCCATTCTTCTTTCCTTAGACATTTGCTGTTATTATTAGGTTAGTGGAAAAGTAGTTGTGGTTTTTGCCATTAAAAGTAATGACCAAAATCGCAATTATTTTTGCACCAACTTAATACCTTACATTTGTAGTAGTCATAATTAAACAGGCCTTGTGACTAGAAACAGAATCTTTGGGTTAAAGAGGCCTCAAAGGTCATGTAGTTCAATTTCCCACTCAGGGCCAGTCTTTTCTACCACGTGCAGCCACTGCTTGAGCACTTGTAGTGATGGGGAACTAACTACCTGAAAACAGCTCACTCAATTGTTTACTTCCAGTTATTGGAAAGTTCTAAAGCATATCAACAGCTAACAATTATTAAGCACTTATTTGTGCTGGGTATTATGTTAAGTGCTTGCATGTGTTTTCCCTTTAATTCTCTCTGTAATCCCTTGAGGTTAGTATCTCTGGTTTTGTTTGTTTATTTTTCTTTTTTTTTTTTTTTTTGAGACAGTCTCGCTCTCGCCCAGGCTGGAGTGCAGTGACACCATCTCGGTTCACTGCAAACTCCGCCTCCCGGGTTCATGCCATTCTCCTGCCTCAGCCTCCCGAGTACCTGGGACTACAGGTGCCCGCCACCACGCCCGGCTAATTTTTTGTATTTTTGGTAGAGACAGGGTTTCACCATGTTAGCCGGGATGGTCTCGATCTCCTGACCTTGTGATCTGCCCACCTCAGCCTCCCAAAGTGCTGGGATTACAGGTGTGAGCCACCGCACCCGGCCAGTATCTCCCTTTTTTAGAGCAGGAAACGGAGATGTGCAGTTTCTTATTCAGGCTCACTCAGGTGGTGGTAGAGCAGGGATGCAGTTGGCCTGCAGCCTGTGCTCCCCTATGCTCCTCTCCATTCAGGGGCCTCCAGGAGTTTGCAGAGTGGCCCCCTAGGCAGTGGAAGGCAGCAGGCTTGGCTCTGCCATCCCCAAGGGACCTCACAATGAAAAAGCTAAGTAATGGACGATAGGAAAATGTATTCTTCTGAAAAGACAATCTTGTACACACCAAGAACAGTGTAAATTAAAACCAAACCAAAGGCTGGGTGCAGCTGTTAATGCCTCTAATCGCAGCACTTTGGGAGGCTGAGGTGGGCAGATTGCTTGAGATTAGAAGTTTGAGCCTGGGCAACATAGCGAAACCCTGTCTTTATAAAAATTACAAAAATCAGGCCAGACATAGTGATGCACATCTGTAGTTCCAGCTACTCAGGAGGCTGAGGTAGGAAGATTGCTTGAGCCAGGGAGGTGGAGGTTGCAGTGAGCTGAAATTGCACCACTGCACTCCATCCTGGGTGACAGAACGAGACCCTGACTCAAAGAAAAAGAAAAAGAAAACAAAATTAAAAACAACTCCCCCACTGCGACAAAACCTAAAAACCAAACTGAGATACCATTTTCCCCTGTCAGATTGGCAAAACTCAAAAAAACTGAAGCTGTGGGGAAATAGGCACTTACCTACATAGCTGATAAGACTAAATTGGTACAACCTTGGTGAAGGGCAACTTAGCAATTTGTATCCAGATTACCAATAAATGTGCTCTTCAACCCAGCTGTTCTACTTCCAGGAGTTGATCCTACAGAAATGCTGGCCAACATGCAAAATAATAGATTGCAGCATTGTTGGTGATAGCAAAGATGGAGACAACTTAAATGTTCATTAATAGGGAACTGGTACAATAATTATGCCACATCTATAATATAATACTAATTATCTCCAAGAAAGGAAGAGCTGCTTCATGTAAAGACAGGCCAATCTCTAAGATATATTGTTCAGTGAACAAAATGAGGGGCAGAATAGTGTATATATTGTACATTTGTTTCCAAAAGGGGAAAGAATAATAACTATATATATATGTTTTTTACACACATATTTGCTTTTTTTCCATAGAATATTTCTCGAAAGATACACAAGAAGCCTCTTGCCAGTTGCCTCTGGAGAAGGGGACTGGTGGTAGGTGGGGGGCAAGAGAGGAATGGGAAGGGGCTTTACTTATTATCTTTTTGTGCTTTTTGAATTTTGAATACAATCTCATGAATGTATTACCTATTTGAAAAATAATTTAAAACCCTGTTTAAAATATCGTAGGCCAGGCGCACTGGTTCACACCTATAATCCCAGCACTCTGGGAGGCTGAGGCGAGAGGATCACTTGAGGTCAGGAGTTTGAGACTAGCCTGGGCCACATGGTGAAACCCTGTCTCTACTAAAAAAATAAAAATAAAAAATTGTATATCTGTGTTGTAACTTATTTTACAGTTTTACCTAGATTGCAATTTTTTAGTTGCCATTGGGAAATTGAAAAATTTCTTCTCTTTTGTATTTTTTTCCCTTGGGAATGTTAATGATTTCCAGCGTTTCTAGTGAACCAGGCTGTTAGGTGCACCAGAAAAATAAATTTAGAACAGTGTGAAGAAATTGAAGCCCTCAGCATGGCTTTTTACAGCAGCCCGGAAATTCTGAGGGTAAGAATTGTTTTGAAGTGGAACTTACTCATTAGGTATGTTTCTGTTCTTTCTGCCCTTTTAAAATATGACAAGTATAGAATAATTTCAGTACATGATTGACACTCAAGTTTAAATTTCTCCAGTACTTTTGTATCAGTGATTATTGAAATAATCCTTTAAATAATTTATTTTTATATAATTAGCTCATATTTTGCTTTTGTTGATTTTTTTCTTTCATTCATTTTGATGGTAACCAATACCTGTCTCCTGAATAAAAACAAATCTTTACTAATAACTAAAAACTTTAGAAATCATAAAAACATCTTCATGTCTGTGACAGAAATAATCTTTTTTTTTTTTTTTTTTTTGAGACGGAGTCTCGCTCTGTCGCCCAGGCTGGAGTGCAGTGGCCAGATCTCAGCTCACCGCAAGCTCTGCCTCCCGGGTTCACGCCATTCTCCTGCCTCAACCTCCCAAGTAGCTGGGACTACAGGCGCCCGCCACCTCGCCCGGCTAGTTTTTTTGTATTTCTTAGTAGAGATGGGGTTTCACTGTGTTAGCCAGGATGGTCTCGATCTCCTGACCTCGTGATCCACCCATCTCGGCCTCCCAAAGTGCTGGGATTACAGGCTTGAGCCATCGCGCCCGGCCCCAGAAATAATCTTATTAGCCCCAAAAAGGGCTCTCTCTCAGAAACAGGCCAGAAAATAAGAGGAAATCCACTTTTTGGTTGGCAGATGACACAGGCAGTCAGGAAAGAACAGGAAATGGGAGAAGAGGGCACGGTGGTGAAAGGGCCCCTTCTCTCTGGTTGCAGTGTCTGAACCCTAAACTGAAGAAATGAGTGAGGCCACTGGCCCACATGACAGATGAGATGGAGGGTGGCAAGGCAAGAAGACTTTTTTCAATGATTAAAAAACCATATGATAGGCTGAGGCAGGAAGATCACTTGAGGCTAAGAGTTCAAGAACCAGCCTGGGCAACATAGTGAGACCCTGCCTTACAAAGAATAAAAAAACTAGTGTGGCATGGTTGTGCACACCTGTCGTCCCAGCTACTCAAGAGGCTAAGACAGGAGGATCACTGGAGCCCAAGAGGCTGAGGTTGCAGTGAGCTAAGGTTGCAGTGAGCTATGATCACACTCCAGCCTGGGTGACAGAGTGAGACCTGGTCTCTAACAAAACAAAATAACCCCCCCGCCAGAAACATATGATTATTGTCAAAGGGGTCCCTTCTCAATTTCCTTTTTATGAGGGGTACAGGGGTAGGGTGGTTCATGGCACCATTATTTGTCTGGACTTCAGTTTTTAGGATCAAGCTTAACCTTTCCCTCTCCTCTCATTTTCTCTCTCCCTCTCTTGTGTAAGTCAGCCATCCAGGCTTGTGAATTCTTCTAGTTAGCTTGAGCTCACAGTTGTCTTGAAGTAATTCCTTGGGCATCCAGGTACAGTTCTCTTTCAGCACAGTCTCTCCAAACAGGTGTATTTGTCTCCCTCCCCACATTTCCCAGTGGGCCTTTCAGAAACAGAGCTGCGGCTCTACTGGGGAGGCAAGGGCTTGTCATTGAGGAGGCTTGGGCCAGAGGCAGGAAGACCAGTTAGGATGTGGAAATCGCCTTGGCAAGGAATGGTGGCCTTCCAGCAAGGACAGGTGCAGTGAGAGTGACCAGGAGTGCAAGAACTGTGCTTCTCACAGTGCTTACGGCCGTGAGACCATGTGGAAATACACAATAATGACCCTGGAGCATGGAACCTTCCTGAGACTAGCTCAGTGAGCTTCCACCTGGAGGAAATGAAGATAGAAGGAAAATGCAACGTGACCTCTTTGATTAGGACGTAGATTCAAACAGATGGATATGGGAAGTTTTGATCAAGGAAATTCTGTTTTCTTCTTTGTGAAACCTTTAATAAGATGAATATACTCTTCAACTCAAGATCTGAAAAAGCAATGAAAATGCTTCTTTTTGTTGTACTTAACACAATTTTTTGTGGTTTCTTTTTATCTAGGCACCTGATTCAAGAACAAAGGTAAGAGTATTTTTTTTTTGTAAGGGAAAGTAGAATAGTTTATAATACTCTGTCTTATTTCTGAGCCCTTTTAAAGGAATACAGTTACAGTTAGAAGGGGACCTTGTTGTCAATAGCAAATACATTTGCCAAAAAGCAAGCAGAAGAGCAATAGGGAAACTCCTTAGCGGGAGTAACACTTCTGGGCTTTCCAGCTGCCTCCGTTGTTGTGGTTTTGTACTCTTCTACGGTTCAGTGACACCACTGTCGTGACCAGCAGTGGGTGTGATTGACAGATTCTGGACATTCAGGCTGTCCCTTGTTCTCTTCTTGGTCTCTTGTTGAGAAAGCTGTCCAGCTCCCAGGATGCTGCCTGTCCAGGACAGAAGCTGTAAGCACTTTGGCCAGTAGGTGTCCACACCATGTGGGAGGCGTGCCCCACAGTGTACCTTCAGGGCTTTATTTGAGGGTGGGTTCTTTTCAAAACCTTATCGCCCCAGCCCAGGGTTCTGCTTGGTTGTGGTCAGGATGCCAGGGTCTCTTCATGGCTATGTCAAAGGAATGTGGATCCCTCACCCCTTATTCTAGGGTCTGTAGCCTAGGCCTGCCTGTGAACACAGTCCCCATGGAGGCCTGAGTTGGTGGCTTTGTCCTAGTTTCCCAGCCTATGGAACTGGCCAGCCTAGGTTCAAACCTCAGCTTTGCCATTATTTTCTTGTCTTAGTAACACTGAGTTCTCCCTTTGTTGAGTGGATGGTAAGTATCTGTGCAGAGGCGTGATGCAGGGTCAAGTGGGAGAAGCACATGAGGTGCTGGTGTGGCATCTGTGCATGGGACGCACTTGGGATGGGGATGCGCTGGCTGTGATTGACTTCACTGATGCTCTGCACACAAACGTGTTTGAAGGAGATGTTTGAAAGGAAATAGCCACGTGACTTTGGGTCTCACACAATGGTGTGTGGGGCTGGATCCCGTCTTCTGTGAAGGATGGAAAGACCTATTATGAGGAATGATGGATGTTACTGGATGTTACTTGTGTTTTCAAACTTGTTTTAGTTATAGATATCCTTTCTTAAATGCAGTCTGAAGCGGAACCCTCCCTAGAGTATAACACAGACTGAATGTGGAGCTGTGCTGGTTGGAGCAGGGATGGGGCCTGAAGCCCTCCACCTGCCCAGTCTCCTTCTCTTTCCTCTTTGGTCCCAGTAAAGAACGCTAGGGCTCGCAGGAATGCAGTGTGAAAGTCATGCAATGGGCTAGCTCTCACCTCCCTCCAATCCCTAGAGAGTGCTTGGATTCTACCACTTAAAACTGGAACTGTCTGTGGGGGCAGCAGCCCTATCAGCCTTGTTCATGATATATCGGTATTTCTAATGCAGCGTCCGGTATGTTCTGGGCACTCAGTGAGTTATGTTTTTAGTGATGAATGACTAGGAAGGAGGTGGGTCCAGTAAGTGTGGAAAGACCTATTATGAGGAATGTGATGGATGTTACTGGGAGGCTTGGAGCAGATGCCAGGCACCATTCTAAGTGCTGTACGTGTCCACCATCTTTGAATCCTCTTGGCTGTCCTAGGAGGTAGGTTCAGTTACTGTCACTCTCTGGCAGATGAGTTACAGGGAGATGAATGAGCTTGCCCACGGCTGCACAGCTGGGAAGTGGCAGAGCTGGGACAGGAATCTAGGCGGTCTGGCCCCAGGGACCTTATACTTTACCACCACACTGGGCCAGCTCTCTCTGTGAGCCCACATGACAGGCTACACACACCCAGTGGACTGGGACTTCCAGCTTAGGTCTGTGTGACACCAAAGGTTGTGCTCTAAAGGACGAGCATGTAAACTAATAGCAGGAATTTGTTTAAAATTTTCTTAAGCAGATTTTAAGGTTAGAGGATCAGGAGAATAGAAATTGGGTCTAATCTCCTCACTAAGTGAAGACTGTTATGATTGCCTGGAATCATTGACAGTATCTGTGAAGCCATCAGTAAATGATTCCAGGGTAGCCCTGTAGTTTCATTGAGTATGCTGGAGTTCTTTACCAGTGTGTGGTTTGGGAATGGTATGTGGTGAAAGAGGAATCAAGGAAATCAGCACGGCCCTACCGTTTCCTTCTCGTGACTGTTGAGTGAGCTGCTGAGATGAGGGCAGCTACTGCCATTGACACCAGGACTCTCCAAAGCTCATTGATATTGAATCCTTTGGTTTTTGCCAATTCCACGGACACACCATGGAAGTGGCTTCAGCAGAGGCTGGTATGGCAGGCTATGCTCTTTCTTGGAACCCGGTGTCATTGCTGAATCAGGGGCCACTGTGCTCAGAGTAAGGAACCCAGGTTGTCCTTATGTTAAACAAGAGCTAATTGAATCGCAGCCTAGGATCCCCTCCATGCTGAAACTCTTTGGTGCGGTGTGTTATGCAGAGGGCTTCGCAGTGACTGGCGTTGCACTTCTGCCATTCTCGTCACATGACAGCTCACAACCTTGTTACTGAGTCATGTCACTTTCTTCTGTGAGAGGTTTTGACTCGCAGGTCTTCTTGGTCATGGGGGCAGACACATAAGGACTGCTTATTTATCTCTAAAATGACTGCTTAAATACTTGGTCATTTTGAATTATAAACAGCATGGTGCATGATTAAGTTCAAAGTGGTATAAACAACTATTAATAGATACATGAGGCTCCTTCCTCAACAGTGGTTTCCAAGAATTGAAGTTTAGAGCAAATGACAGATTCATCCTATAGTGTGAGGAGGCCCAGCTACCTTTAGAGGATGGGTTGATGCCTTGCTAGTCTGCTGGCGGTGGCCATGAATGCAAAATGTCCTTTAATAGCACTGGGATAAGCAGGGCTTCCTGGTGTTGCTGAAAACGTTTGTCTGTGTCTGTTTTCTATTGCTCATAATCCTACCACCCAGAGAAACCACTGTGTGTGTGTGTGTGTTTATGTATGTGTGCACTTGCATTTGTGTAGAAGTTGTGTATAAATTGGGTCAAATGAATATTCGGGGGTGTGTGGGGGCTTAAGCATATGTATCCTGGGACTGTGTGTGAATGTGCATGTGTGGGTATGGAGTGTGTAGGAGTTGTGTTTTGGAGGTGAGGATATATATGTGCGCTTGACAGTGTGATGGAGTTTTGTGTGTATGTATTTGAGATATAATTCACATACCATAAAACTCACCATTTTAAAGTATACAATTCTGTGGCTTTTAGTATAGTCACAGGTTGTGCAACCATTACCACTAATTCCAGAACATTTCCATCACCCCAAAAAGGAGCCCTGTGTTAGCAGTCACTCCTCATTCTTCTCCAGCTCTGTCCCCCAGCCCCTGGCAACCACTGATCTAGTTTTCATCTCTATGGGTTTGCCAATTGGACATTCCGTATAAATGGAATTAGAAGTGTGGCCTTTCGTGTCTGGCTTTTATGACTTAGCATGTTTTCAAGATTCATCTGTACTGTGGCATGTATTAGTACTATTTTTAAGGATAAGTCATATTCCTTTGTAAGGCTAGACTTTGTATTTATCCATTTATCAGTTGATGGACATTTCGGTGGTTTTTGGTTTTAGCTATTATGATAGTGCAGCTGTGAACATTTGTGTACAAGTTTTTGTGTAAACTTTGTTATTAGAGGTAACTACTTTTAAAGTTTTGGTTATATCTTCAAGTATTTTCTTTGTGAATGTATATATGTTTATTACTTTTGCAAATGTGGATCATAGTATACACATGTTGTGTAGCATGCTTCCCCCTACTTGGCCATATATCAGGGGAGGTTTCTTTCCAGTTGGTTGTTATTTTAGCCCATCCTCCCTGGGTAGAGCATCTTCAACACTCCTGGTCTTCACTCTGCAGGTCCCTATCACTGTTCAGTCAGTCCTCATTCAGTCTCTAAATAAAACGCTCACCCGACGGGAAGACACTGATGTGCTACAGCCGGCTCTCGTCAATGCTGGACACTTTCACCTTTGCATGAATGTTGTTCTTGAGGTAGGTGCCGAATTTGGCTTTGAGAGCTTGTCTGTGGCAGACTTAAGCCTCCTGTCGCGCTGGGGTAACTGGATGCCGTCCGAGGACACTCTGTCCTAGCCTGTGGTGTGGCTTTACCTGGCTTGGCTGCCTGCTTGCCTTTCTGCTGTCTCATCAAAGGACACCTCTTGTCTCCACAAACCTAGTGACTTGCCGGAATACATCAAAATATTTTTGTTGTTGCTGTTTTTGTTTTAACATGTTTCCTCTGCAGAGATAGGCTTATTACATTCTGCTTGGACCAGCTTATGTGGAACTTCTGTAATTGGGCAGAGTGGCTCAGATGACCTTGTCTGCTAGGGGTGGTGCTGAGGGAACACCTCTCGTAATCCAACTGGACAGCAGAGCAAGGCTTTAACACATGGAGAAATGGGGAAAGATTTGCTATCTGTGGGTATTTTCAGTTATTCATACAGCTTCTGAAATGTAATGGAACAGGTATATTAGGAGTATCATTTTTTTTTAGGTAAAATACAGCCTCACATACACAGATAGAGGTGAAGTCACCAAAGCTGATCTGTCATTCCTTCTGGGGACAGTTAGCAGTGTAGTGGTCCCACTGCAGCAAAAGTTTGAAATTCATTTTCTTCAGGTAAGGTTGATCAATTTGGCATAAGTATTTAATTGCCAAGTTAAAAAGAAATAATGACTTCTTAGTGGATAAAACTGAATTTCTAAGTATTACATCCAAGCCTTTGTAGTGAACAGAGGGCTTTGTGTAGCCTGTGGCATCTGTAATGAAACCAAGCATTCTCCTTGTATTTTTTTTCCTTTTGGGAAAAGATTCCCTTCCACGTTAGCTTGTTCTTTTACAGTATGATGTACTCCTACACCTGGCAGATGTATTTATAGTTCTGAGTAGGGAGGGAGAAATTATTTTGTTGGTTGTTAATTCCAGATTTTATTATGAAAGAAGCATTTTTCTCCCTGCCATTTCCTTATTAAAATGAGAATTATTTGGGGGCATTTCTACACTGTCTTTCAGGAAAATACCAAGCCAGTCCCTCTCAGTGGAAACCCTGGTTATGTCGTGGGGCTCCCGTTAGCTGCTGGATTCCAGCCTCATAAGGGATATCCTTTTTGGTTCTGTAGAGGGTGGATTTATTCCTGTCTCCGTGTGCGTGGGCTGCACTGCTTTTTATCACCGAGGCTCCCCTGGGCTGCTTGTGGGAAGAAGAGAGCAGTCCAGGCCGAGCTTCCTGCAGGTGGCTCTGGTGGGCGGCCAGTCTGGCTACACAGCAGGTGGGCTGGGGGGAGACTGGCAGTTGGGGGTGAGACAGCACATCCTGGGAAAATGTCAGGTTTTTTTTTTAAAAATCTCCTTTTTTTTTTTCCCAGCCTGCCATTAAGCCACAAAATATGTCAGTGTTTTACAACGAAAATCTTAAGAGAGAAAAGTTGACATTTAAACGTTTTTAATTTCACATTTAAACAATTTTGAAGGGCCAGTTTCTGATAATTTTTCTTCTGAGAATCCACTTACTAAGGAAAATAGAACTACTTTTTTGCCCACTCCTGGGAAATAGCTGTTAAAATCACAGAGGCCCAGAAAAAGTGTATTTGGGTCTCCCTCATGTCACACAGTGACACTGTCTTCTTACCTGAGAATCAGGCTGCTCTACCACTAGGCAGTTGTCCCTTAACTGTCTGTGAATGTCTGGGATTATTCAGACCACGAACAGATACAGACAGTTTACTATTCTTCATAGCACAGCTGAGCAAGACTGCTTAGCACTGGAGGGGGTCCGGACCCCAGTATTATTTGGTTACACTATGCAATCTGGCTGTAAACTAAGGTAAAAGAGTCACTTGTTTCTATTTGAACTTGTGTTGATCAGAAAACAAAGCATTCTCACTTTTCCCCATTTTAATCAAATCTCTGCATCAGCTGATGAGCTCATATGAAAGCCACATACAGTATATCATCATGCATGAATAGTAGCAAAACTGTTACAATCATTTTTGTTATTAAATGTGGCAAAGCAAAAATTTCAAGGCTTTGTGTGTTTCTTTTTTTAAGAGATGGGGTCTCGCTCTGTCTCCTAGGCTGGAGTACAGTGGCGCCATTATAGCTCACTGCAGCCCTGACCTCCTGGGCTCAAGGGATCCCACCTCAGTCTCCCAAGTAGTTGGGACTACAGGCACGCACCACCACACCTGGCTTTTTTTTTTTTTTTTTTTTTTTGAGACAGAGTCTCGCTCTGTCACCCAGTGGTGCAATCTCAACTCACTGCAACCTCTGCCTCCAGGTTCAAGCAATTCTCCTGCCTCAGCCTCCTGAGTAGCTGGGACTACAGGTACGTGCCAACATGCCCAGCTAAATTTTGTATTTTTAGTAGAGACAGGGTTTCACCATGTTGGCCAGGCTGGTCTAGAACTCCTGACCTCAGGTGATCTGCCTGCCTTGGCCTCCCAAAGTGCTGGGATTACAGGTCTGAGCCACTGTGCCTGGCCTGTATGTTTCATTTTTAAGGTTGTTTAGAATTTGAGTTCACAGTAAAAATATTTCCCCTGAAAATATTTCCTATGTTTCTGCATTTTAATATACACAGCACATCAAAACCAGGGAGAGGAAATCTGAATATAATCTGCTTACATCTTACCAAATATGTACATAATGTAAAATATCAAACAGCGCTGCATGGCTTGTTATAAAAACAGTTCTTACCCTCATTTGCCCCACCTTGGAGGCAACCACTTTCAAATCTTGTTGCTGTTTTTTTCAAAATCTACCCCCAAATCTTGAAATATCCTGCATATAATGCTACTTCTTGATATTTTGGTTTTATGAATTTTTTATTGAGTTTCCATTAAGGAAGACAAAGGTTGGCTCTTTCCCCTTCATCCCCTACCTCATGACCCACACACTTCCCACATCTTCCCAGGGTCATTGGATCATTATTTTGTTTAGACCAATATTTACCATTTACTTATTTTTTGAGACAGGGTCTCACCCTGTTGCCCAGGCTGGAGTGCAGTGGCGTGATCAGGGTCACTGCAGCCTCGGCCTGCAGGCTCAAGCTATCCTCCTGCCTCAGCCTCCTAATAGCTGGGCCCACATGCGAGTGCCATCACACCTGGCTAATTTTTAAAATTTTAGTAGAGACGGCGTCTCCCTATGTTTCCCGGGCTGGTCTCGAACTCCTGGGCTCAAGTGCTCTTCTTGCTTCAGCCTCCCAATATGTTGGGATTACAGATGTGAGCCACTACATCCAGCCACCATTTACATTATTATTATTATTATTATTATTATTATTTATTATTTTTTTTTGAGGCGGAGTCTTGCTGTGTCTCCCAGGCTGGAGTGCAGTGCAGTGGCCGGATCTCAGCTCACTGCAAGCTCCGCCTCCCGGGTTCACGCCATTCTCCTGCCTCAGCCTCCCGAGTAGCTGGGACTACAGGCGCCCGTCACCTCGCCCGACTAATTTTTTGTATTTTTAGTAGAGACGGGGTTTCACCGTGTTAGCCAGGATGGTCTCGATCTCCTGACCTCGTGATCCACCCGTCTCGGCCTCCCAAAGTGCTGGGATTACAGGCTCGAGCCACCGTGCCCGGCCCACCATTTACATTATTAATTCTGATCCATTTAGACCAGCATTTCTCAAAGGGAGAGGGTTCCATGGAATACATTTCCACAAGACATCAGTAGGGGTAGGTCTACGGTCCAATACGTTTGGGAAACACCAAATTAAAGTTAAAACGATGGTTCCTTCCTATATTACTCATCAGAACCTTTAATAGACACATGTGCCTCAGGAGGGACATGGGGACATGGAGGTTCAATGCTTCCCCAACTTTGGCCATGAAACCCTTCTTGTACAGAGCTTCAGTGGAACACATTTTGGGAAACATTGTTTTAGACTCATCATCTCGCAGGTCAAGATTTTGCAAAGTTAGAGACACTTTAGCTTCTGTCAGATAATCCCCCATTTGGAGAGTGAGGAGATAATGAAACTGGGAAGGAATGAAACTGCTGGTGGGGCTGGGAGCGGTGGCTCACACCTGTAATCCCAGCACTTCGGGATGCCAATGTGGGCAGACCACCTGTGGTCAGGAGTTCGAGACCAGCTTGGCCAACATGGTGAAACCCCATCTCTACTAAAAATACAAAAAAATTAGCCGGACACGGTGGTGGGCGCCTGTAGTCCCAGCTACTCAGGAGGCTGAGGCAGGAGAATCACTTGAACCCGGGAGGTGGAGGTCGCAGTGAGCTGAGATTGCCTCACTGTACTCCAGCCTGGGTGACAGAGCAAATTCCATCTCAAACAAAACAAAACAAAAAACAAAAATCGAAAATCAAAAAACAAAAAACTGCTGGTGGGCTGGGTGTGGTGGCTCACTCCTGTAGTCCCAGCACTCTGGGAGGATCGCATGAACCCAGGAGTTTGAGGCTGCAGTGAGCTATGATGGCGCCACTGCACTCCAGCTTGGGCATCCGAGTGAGACCTTGTCATAAATAAATAAATAAATAAACAAAGGGAAGGAAAGGAATAAGAAAATAAAGAAAAACTGCTGGTGGATGAACAACAGCCTCATTCAGTTGACTTCTTTTTCCTTCACCAAGACTGATTGGAGCTCTCCCGTGTCGGCTTGTAGCCCAGAAGGTGAAGAACCTGCTGTGGGGCCAGGGCTTCCCAGATTATGTGGCCCCTTTTGGAAATTCGCAGGCCCAGGATGTGCTGGACTGGGTGCCCATCCACTTCATCACCCAGTCATTCAACAGGAAGGTAAAGGGGAGAAGGTGCAGGTTCCATGCTAGCAGTCTCTCTCTTCCAGGTGGTGTGATGAAGGCAGCCGGGGAAGCCAGCTGTTAAGGAGGCAGGATGGTTCTGAGTGGGAGCATGTGCTGAATCTTGGATACTGATTTTTGCCCCTTGTTAGCAATGTTGTCTCTGGCTGGCAGTTTTATGGCTTTGAGCCTCTGTTTTCATCTGTGAAATGGGAACGCTAGTCATAGTGGGTGAGTGGCCTCATGGGGCACTGAGAGGGTTAAGTGAGGTAACATTTATGTGGCCCTGGGCATGGTGCCTAGTGGTCCATAAATGGGAACCACTGTGATCCTCATCCTGTTGCTACCATCATTGTGATTGTTGGTGTCCCTTGAGCCCTCTCCAGGCATCTCATGACACGATAGACGAATGTTGAGTCCTGTATCAAAGACTGAGACTTCCTTCCATGCACGTGGCTATCCCACCCATTGTCCTCTGGTCTACCCAGGCAGCCTACACCTCAGAGTTTTCACTGCCACAGTTCCTCACAGAGTTGAATGGAAGTTGACAATCCTACAGATAGGTTCCTGGTCACATGTGATGCTTCTGCCCACCTTTTTCTTTTGTCTTAGCAGTCAGTGTGTGGGCCAGCCCTGGCCCGGAGGCGTGCTCTCCATCTTAGCCTGTAATTGCCCAGCTTGTTCTTGTCACGCTTTCTTCAGACCTCTCATTATCTGCTCCGAGTATTTCTAGCATGGGCATAGCAGGGATGAGGACTGCTCGCTTTTCTGATCCGCCCTCCCACCGAGGCCAGCAGAGACCCAGGATTACTCCATTCCACTGCGAAGTCTTGGCTCAACTCTCCCGCCAGAACCAGGCACATTGCTTCTGGCTTCTTGGCCATGGCTGAAGACATGCAGTTATTACTCCTCAGAAGGGAAGATACGGGTCGGGAGGAGAGGCAGCAGTGCGCACACAGCATTGTCAGGGTCTGTGCTGATCCTGAATGCTCAGAGGGCCTGCAGCAGTGGGTTTTGTACCAACTCTGCCGGCAACCCAGGTAGAGGCAGGCACGAGCACCTGCTAAACTCAGTTTCCACCAGCTGCATGCTGCATTGTCTCCTAAGAACTGGATATTCGAGAGGATTGTTCAGCCTGCACGGTTTTTAAAGGCAGTTCCAAGCTAAGGAATTCCATCAGTGCTTTTTTTGCAGCCACCAAATTTAGCAGGCCTGTGAGGTTTTCATGTCCTGAAGAGATGTATTTTAAAGCTTTTTTTTTTTTAATGAAAACATGTCATACATACACAAAAGTAGAATAGTACCATGGGGTCCCCACGTACCCAGCCTGCAGCTTCAACAGTTACCACATTTGCCAACTGGAGAGACTGCAAAGGCAGGAAAAAGTCCTGGAAGTCCCACGGCCCCTTTTTCCCTTGGGTCAGAGGCCTTAGAGTTGGCTCCCAAAGCAGCCAACCAAATGGGCAGCTCAGCTCCTTCATGGCACCAGCAGCGTTCCTGGTGCAGATGAAGAGTTGATGTCTTTGACAACATACTGACACTGCCTGGTTACCCAAATGTCACATCTTAAGTGCCAGTTGATGAAATTAGATAAATGAGAAGGCACTTAAATTTCCCCTCAGAGCATTTTAACATGATATGCAATCAGGTTTTATTTGTCTGCTAATAATTATTTCTTCCCCTCCATCCCTCCCACCAGTTTCTTTCCTGAAGTCTGTGAGGCAGGTGTAAACAGGTAGATGAAGTTAGAGCAGTTATGGCCCTAAAGGGTCCACAGTTGAATATCGGCACTACCGCAGTTTCAGGTGATGTCGACTTTTTTAGAAATAGAAGGGGATGGAAAAATTATGCTTCAGTTGTTAAAAATATTTTTGGGGCATTGAGTTACTTTAAAATACGTACTTTCTCTAAGCTGTTTTTATCTGAACTACTAGAGTCTATTCATTTTCTTGTTCAGAACATTTTGTAATATATGAAACCTTTTCTAATTAACACTCTGAACTGCAGATTAAGTCTGACTTGTGGTTGTGTAAGATTCCAATGGATTAACAGCATTCTGTTTTGCAGGATTCCTGCCAGCTCCCAGGGGCTTTGGTTATAGAAGTGAAGTGGACCAAATACGGATCCCTACTGAATCCACAGGCCAAAATAGTCAATGTAACTGCAAATCTAATTTCATCCTCCTTTCCTGAGGTAGGTCTAACCTAGTTTAAAGGCATATGTTAAGACAGAAGTCTAGACACAACTCAAGTGTGGTAGGTGACAGGTATTACTTTGTGTAAAAGATTATAATTTAAACCATGGGGGTTCATAAAATACTTCAGCATTCTTTTACTTAGAAGGAAACACTGATGATGGTACTATTTATATTAGCATTCTGGTTTCGATTGGATCTTTAAAATTCTCATGAAAATTATGACTGATATTCATGTGTTAATCAGACACCCTGGTAAAATTGTTTCCCTCATCCAAGTTAATGGCTGATTAGTGCTCCAGGATCTATCAGATTCATGAACTGACAGTGGTTGAGTGAGGAAGAGAATGAAAAGTGTCTCATTGTTGTCATTCTGGGAGCACACTGGAGGGTGGGCCTTGCTCTCTCTGTTTATTACAGGTCAGCTCAGGAAATGAAAGGACGATTCTTATTTCTACTGCGGTTACTTTTGTGGATGTGTCTGCACCTGCAGAGGCAGGCTTCAGAGCTCCGCCAGCCATCAATGCCAGGCTGCCCTTTAACTTCTTCTTCCCGTTTGTTTGACGTAAGTCATCACTTGAGGAAACTACGCCCCTCCTCTGAGGTCATCCCCTGTGGAAAGTGCATGTGGGGCTAGAAGTCCCTAGGGGACACTGCATTTTATACTTTTTGAGGGTCTTGCTTTGTCACTGAGGCTGGAGTGCAGTAGTGTGATCATGGCTCACTGCGGCCTTGACCTTCTGGGCTTGAGTGATCCTCCCACCTCAGCCTCCTAATAGCTGGGACTACAGGTACACACCACAACACCTGGCTAATTTTAATATATTTTGTAGAGATGGGGTCTTGCTGTGTTGACCAGGCTGGTCTCAAACTCCTGGGCTCAGGTGCTCCTCCTGCCTCAGCCTCTGAAAGTGCTGAGATTACAGGTGTGAGCCACCATGCCTGGCCTTATTATACTTCTAACCTTTGAGGTTGCCTCCAAACCAGCACACTGCCCTTCTCCATTCCCTTCCCACCTTTTTTCCTTTTGGAAATGTTATTCTGTCTGACTTTTGAATGGGGAATACACTTAACACATAGGTCATAGATAGAACCGAAAAAGTCTTTGGAGAGATGGTAAAGAAAATGAACAGGCCTTGAAGCAGCAGAGGCATGGGGGATTTGGCCAGTTCATTCATCCCCTGCTTTGAGTTATTTTAAAAATATTCAGTTCAGGTTTTTTCCTTTTTAGGTCTGGTTGCAGTGAGTACAAAAAATAGCAATATATTAGATAAAATCGTGCGAGAAGAGTACACAGCCTTGCAAGGGATCTTCCCCTAAGTACCATGTTAATTATAGTGGAGTCTTGGGTCTTATTGCCATTTCTGCACCAGGCACTATAGCTAGCTTGCTCTCTGACTGGCAGGCTGGTATGGGTGCCACAGAGGAAAGAATACAGTAGGAGGATCCAGGGGAAAGAGAGAGTTTATTTTATACAGTAATTGTACAGTAATTGAGGAAAAATATCAGGTGGCAGAACGCAATGGAGCCACCTAGAAAGCTGGCTGATGCAGCTGGGGCACACAGAGGAGGGGCCTGGGTACCCCTTTTGGGGAAACTGAGACAAGGGAAGCTATTTAGAACAGCTTGAAAATAAGAGACTTTTCTAGAATGGGGTGGCAGCTAAAGTAGCTTCTTTTTCTTTCTTTCAGAATGCTCATATGAAAGGATACATCAATTCCTTAATATACATGTGAAATTTGAAAACTGTACATTCGATGCGACTAAATTTTATATACAACTAGAAATTGTCCAGCTTTGTTGCTCATTTTCAAGCAAGGCTAAAGTGTTCAACATGAGAAAATGTGATACCTTTGACACAGTGTGGGGTGGGAATGGATGGGCAGCTCTTGGTGGTACTGGACCTTCCACAAGGCTGTGTCCACCCAGAATCCATGCTGGCAGGAGGGAGGCAGAGGCATCAAACCAAACCTCTCACCAGGTGGCCCAGGAGGGGCAGCTGTTCCTCACATGACAGCACAGGCCCATGAGGCAGTGTCTTCTCTGCGGGGAGCTGGTCTGGGTCTAGTTCACTTCACCAAGAAGTCCATGCTGTCGCAATAGCTTGTTAAGTCTTTCAATTTCTTGTTCCTATTGCAAAAGCAGACAAACACTGGAATTTACTTTGAGCCTCGCCAGGGATGTGACAATCATTCAGTAAGCCCCAGGCACAGAGCCACAGAGATGAATGAAAGCTACACTCTGTGGCATTCAGTCTGCTGAGGAGACTGCTACAATTATAGGCTCCACTGAGCAGCAGTGACAGCAGTGAGAAGACAAAGGTGGGGGACCTGGCAGAGCCCCAGGGTGTGGGAGTGGGCACAGCTTCAGGGAGGATATGATGCCTGGGCTGGATCTGAAAGGACAAGGCAGGCTCAGCCCAGGGAAGGGCGCTCTAGGTGCATGAGCAGCGCTGTGCTGCAGGCGGCTGCTGCAGCAGAGGCCAGCTTCTCAGACGTCTTTTTGTTGTTGTTGTTGAGACAGAGTTTTGCTCTTGTTCAGGCTGGAGTGCAATGGCGCAATCTTGGCTCACTGCAACCTCTGCCTCCCAGGTTCAAGCGATTCTGCTGCCTCAGCCTCCTGAGTAGCTAGGATTACAGGCATGCGCCACCACGCCCGGCTAATTTTGTATTTTTAGTAGAGACAGGGTTTCTCCATGCTGGTCAGGCTGGTCTCGAACTCCGGACCTCAGGTGATCCACCTGCCTCAGCCTCCCAAAGTGCTGGGATTCCAAGCATGAGCCACCATGCCTGGTCCCCAGATGTGTCTTACCTTCTCAGAGCAGCTGAACTCAAGGTGTTGAATCTTGGCGGCCAATTGTACATTCATCTGTTTTAACCTTAAGAGTTGCCGTTCTGAACGTGTCTTAACTGAGATGATAATCCCTGAAATAAAATTGGGGGTCTCAGTGATACTGGTTTCTAACTTAACCACTGAGGAAAAAAATCTGTATTCTTACACCCGTATAGTGTTGGGAGGAGTGGTGACAGACACACGAGACAGTCATCACTTTAGGGCATCAGAGCTGGGAAGTCAGGGTTTCATGCCTGAGCTACTTAGTCCCCAGTTATGCAATATCTCTCTATAGCTGTTATGGCTGAGAAATCCTTAAAAATAATTGCTGACAAGATGAACATTAGGCTTCTTAACCTAGAACCTGTTCACAATCATATGGGTGCATAGCAGCAGTGTGCACAGATACCACGAAAGCACAGGCTGGGAAATGCCCCCTTTCTCCATAACAGGCATCTTCCGTAGGAACTCAAAGGCTTTTTTTCTTTCCTTTGACAGAGGCCAGTTTTTTTTTTGTTGTTGTTGTTGTTTTGAGATGGGGTCTCGCTCTGTCACCCAGGCTGGAGTGTGGTGGCACAATCTTGGCTTACTGCAGTCTCCAAATCCTGGGTTCAAGCGATCCTCCCACCTCCGCCCCCCCCAGTGGCTGGGACTACATGTGTGCACCACCACACCCAACTGATGTTTCTATTTTTTTTTTTTTTGTAGAGACAGGGTTTCACCTTTGTTGCCCAAGCTGGTCTTGAACTCCTGGGCTCAAGTTATCCTCCTGCCTCAGCCTCCCAAATTGCTGGGATTACAGGCATGACCACTGTACCCAACCGTTTCATTTTATTTGCTTGACATAAACCTGCTCATAACCAGCTCCTAAAAGGGCTGAAGAGGAAGAAGGGAGGAGAGGGAGGTGAGGGGTCAGTGGGGAGGCCTCCGTAATGGGAGCCACTGTGAGCTCAGGCGCCCAGAGTGACTGTGCTGCCAGGCCTCGGATGTATGCCTGAGCCCCCACTCTCCATCCACAGCCTGGGAGTGCACGAGACGTACCGTTGATGATCCGGGCCACCCGCCACAGCCGAAGCAGAATCAGCAGGCCCAGAGCCTCAAACTCGTGCTCCTGGAACAGGAGGACAACGTCGAGGACGAATGAGACCACCACCACGACGGCATCCAGGATCTCAAACTTGTGGTGAAAGAACTCCAGGCGGAAGACAAATAATTTAAAGGTAATCTCCATCATAAAAAGGGCCAAGATGGCGATGCTCATGTAGTGGAATATCTGAAGGGGACAAGGAACCACAGTCAGGGGAGATCGGGCCTCTGGGAGGTCAAGCTGCCTTCGCATGCACCTGCCTGGTCACCAGCAAGATAATTCATCTGTTGGACAAATCCAGATGCCCGGTGCTGGATACACGGCTGTGAACACCACAGATGAGGCACCTGCTGTCTAAAGGGCAATTAGGCAATGTCGGAATTAAAGCGTCCTCCAGACCCTTTGGACCAGCAATTCCGTGGCTAAGAACTTATCCTACAGCTGAACTCCCGTGTGCACAGGGACTAAGGATATTTACTGCAGCACTGTTTGCAGAGCAAATATTTTCTGCATTGTTTGTAAGACAACGGAAATGTCCGTTAGACAGAAATGTCCATTAGAAGGTACTCTTAAAATGAATGGTGGCACCTCCATATGGGGCCCTAAGGACACAATTGTTAAAAAGATTAAGCTGGGTGTGGTGGCTCGAGCCTATAGTCCCAGTTACTCAGGAGGCTAGGTGGGGCCTCCTGCCCAGAGCCCAGTTTGAGGCCAGCCTGGGCAACATAGCAAGACCCCATCTCTAAAATAACTGAGTGAATGAATGAATGAATGAATGAATGAATGAATGGAGGCAGATCCATATGTTCCAATTAGGAGTGATCACCAAGGTAAGTGAAAAGGGTTCCGAGATCTTGATCTAGTCCTGGCTGGGCACAGTGGCTCATGCCTGTAATCCCAGCACTTTGGGAGGCTGAGGCAGGTAGATCACTTGAGGTCAGGAGTTTGAGACCATCTTGGCTAACATGGTGAAAACCTGTCTCTACTAAAAAAAATACAAAAAGTGAGCCAGGTGTGTTGGTGCACGCCTGTAGTCCCAGCTACTTGGGAGGCTGAGGCAGGAGAATTGCTTGAACCCAGAGGACAGGTTGCAGTGAGCCGAGATTGCACCACTGCACTCCAGCCTGGGTGACAAGTCAGACTCCGTCTCAAAAAATAAAAATAGGCCGGGCGCGGTGGCTCAAGCCTGTAATCCCAGCACTTTGGGAGGCCGAGACAGGTGGATCACAAGGTCAGGAGATCGAGACCATCCTGGGTGAAACCCTGTCTCTACTAAAAAAATACAAAAAACTAGGCGGGCATGGTGGCGGGCACCTGTAGTCCCAGCTACTTGGGAGGCTGAGGCAGGAGAATGGCGTAAACCTGGGAGGTGGAGCTTGCAGTGAGCTGAGATCAGGCCACTGCACTTCAGCCTGGGCGACAGAGTGAGACTCCATCTCAAAAACATAAAAATAAAAATAAAAATATAAAATAACCAGTCCTCACACCAAGATAACCATTTCCAGATCTGGGGCAGGGAAGGTACAATGTGGGCAAGGATGTCTTGTGCCAGAAAGCAAGGAAGTCTTCAAAGACATCACAGAGTCATGTCAACAGGACCCAGCAGTCAGCTTGAAGAGGTTCACAGTGACAACATTTGGGGCAATCTGAACATTGAAAAGAATGACTAAGATTGATTGTAACACAGTGAATAAAAAAAAATTCACAGTGCAGCACATACACCCATGCAAACGCACACACATGGGAAAACAGGGAAGTGCCTTTTTATAGAAGAGTACCGACTACTAAATGTAGAAGGAAAGACAGAATTAGAAAATCACCATTCTGCATCCCCTAGTGTAGTCACTGACTCAGGCAAGGATCACCAACAGATGCCAACTGGGGAAGAGGATATTTGCATGCTACCAAAGGAGTACCGTCCGGACAGATCATTTACCACTGCAACAGGAAAAATGCCCCTGGCCAGTGGAGCCATCCAGCATTTACTACCTAAATCAAGTGACCCAACTGAGTGGGACCCCTGGCGTGTGCCTCCTGAAAATGCCACCTCCAGAACATCGCCCGCCAATGAGGACTCCCTGCTGATCAAGCCCTGGACCTAACCGTGGTGTGCAGGAAATAAGGCAGGAGACCTCAAACTCATCAGACAAATCCAGAACATGGGACATTCTATTGGCTGGGCTCTTCCAAGAGTCATGGTCATGAAGGAAAAAGAAAAGCAGGAGGATTTATCTAGATTAAGAAAGCCCAGGGAGGCTGCGTGTGGTGGCTCACACCTGTAATCCCAGCATTTTGGGAGGCCAAGACAGGATTGCTTGAGCCTGGGAGTTCAAGACCAGCCTGGGCAACACAGGGAAACTCTTTCTCTATAAAAAAGTTTAAAAATTAGCTAGGTGTGGTGGTGCATGGCTGTGGTTCTAGTTACTCAGGAGGCTGAGGCGGGAGGAAGGCTTGAGCCCATGAGGTCAAGGCTGCAGTGAGCTGTTAGTGCTACTGCACTCCAGGCTGGGTGACAGAGCAAGACTCTGTCTCAAGGAAAAAAAAAAAAAAAAAAATTCCAAGGAGACACAACCAAATAGAATATTGGAATTCCCTATCCTAGTTTGAAAAAAAGTGCCATTAAAGACATTCTTGGGCTGGGCATGGTGGCTCGTGCCTGTAATCCCAGCACTTTGGGAGGCTGAGGTTGGCAGATCACTTGAGGTCAGGAGTTTGATACCAGCCTGGCCAACATGGTGAAGTCTCGTCTCTACTAAAAATACAAAAATTAGCTGGGTGTGGTGGCGAGCACCTGTAATCCCAGTTACTCTGGATCCTGAGGCAGGAGAATCGCTTGAACTCAGGAGGCGGACGTTGCAGTGTGATGAGATCGTGCCACTGCACTCCAGCCTGGGCGATAGAGACTCTGTCCCCCCAAAATAAAAAGAGACATTTGGGATGAGTGAGTGAATAAAAGTGGTTGTTAGGTGGGACTATTGATCTTATTTTAGGTCTGATGATGCTCTCATGGCTCCACGGGAGAAAAACCTTATTAGGCATGTTGAAGTATTTAGGAGTGAAGGTTTGTGACGTCAAATGGTCAGATGGAAATGTGTGTGCATCTGTGGGGATATATAGTGACAAAGCAAACAGCAAAATGTGTCTTTGCCATTTTTCATAATAAAAAGTTGAGAGAAAAAAGACAATATGGCAGGTATGTTAATGGATTCTATTAAAAATAGAGGAAGAGAGCCAAGTGCAGTGTCGCACGCCTGTAATCCCAGCACTTTGGGAGGCAGAGGTGGGTGGATCGCTTGAGCCCAGGGGTTCAAGACCTCAGTCTCTGAGAAACATGAAAGCAATTATTTAGGAGAAATTAGATGGACAGGGAAGATTCTCCTTTCATGCCGGCATAGGAGATGTCACTGGGCTGCCTCTGGGAAAGGTACCAGGAAGAAGGAGGTTTAACATTTCCTTCTGCCTTTTTCACTACTTGCAAAGACATATATTTGCATATCAATTCCATTTTGTTTTTCCAAAAAAGGGCATGGCGGGGGTTGGGGACGGGAAATGCTTTTTTTTTTGTGGAGACGGAGTTTTGCTCTTGTTGCCCGGGCTGAAGTGCAGAGGCGCTATCTCGGCTCACTGCAACCTCCGCCTCTGGGGTTCAAATGATTCTCCTGCCTTGGCCTCCTGAGTAGCTGGGATTACAGGCCTGCGCCACCACGTCCAGCTAATTTTTTGTATTTTCAGTAGAGACGGGGTTTTATTATGTTGGCCAGGCTGGTCTTGAACTCCTGACCTCAGGTGATCCACCCACGACCTCAGGTGATCCACCCACCTTGTCCTCCCAAAGTGCAGAGATTACAGGTGTGAGCCACTGCGCCCAGCCAGGGATGATTTTAACTCTCCTGATCTCCCTTGGCACCGAGACAGGGTGTGTCCACCACCCTTTGCCTGAACGTCTGGGATGGGCTCAGTAACTGAATCAGTGAATAAACAGCACATCCCCTGACGGCCCAGCATGGGGACCATGCAGACCATCAACAGAAGACAGGAGAAATGCCCCTCCTGAGCCAGAGATGGCAGAGTGGATCCACCCCACATGCTCACTAGCCTAGCATCACCCAGGATTCCAGCCATCATGTGAAACAAGGTTTCCTGCTTGTAGTAAATGCTAATCCATAATCTGGAAAGGAAGATGAAAACACCTATTAAACTACCACAGACCTTGCTACTCCAAGTGGGGTGTCAGCTGCTCCACTCTGCACCCCTACTGTGCGGATAACACAAGCAAAACATATCAGTAAGACCCCAGAAGAGCTGTCAACCCCTACCATGGCGGCATAGTTTTTCTTGTCGGGCTGGATGATCCTCAGGTCCAGGATGAGCTCAGCAAGCACCAGGAGGGTGTCCAGAACCACCAAGCAGATGATGATGACCTGCGGGCCGAGGGAAGGCACCAGAGACCATGAGACCCATATGGAGGCCCTCCCTCTTCCCATGATTAAGAGCTGGCTTGGAAGCACGTGGGTGAAACCACTGGGCAAAGCCATTAAGGGTGGGAGGCTATTGCTATAGTTCGCCAGAGGCCCCACCGGGATGGTGGCTGCGCAGGGCCAGCTCCTCTCTGATAGAAGCCACCAGCCTCCTTCCCACCACCCTCCTGGCCTGCTCTGCCTCTAGGTGGTACCCACCTTCCCTGCCCTCCCAGAACATGTCTGGCTCATTTTCTGACCCTTGGTCACTGTTTCTCAAATACCACCTCTCAAACCAAACTGCCCATACCTAGATGGCAACAAATAATCAGTTTGTGTGTGTGTGTGTGTGTGTGTGTGTGTGTATATATATATATATATATTTTTTTTTTTTTTTTTTTTGAGACAGTCTCGTTTTGTCGCCCAGGCTGGAGTACCATGGCATCATCTCGGCTCACTGCAACCCCCACCTCCTGAGTTCAAGCAATTCTCCTGCCTCAGCCTCCCGAGTATCTGGGATAACAGGCACACACCACCATGCCTGGCTAATTTTTGTATTTTTAGTAGAGATGGTGTTTCACCATGTTGGCCAGGCTGGTCTCAAGCTCCTAACCCCAAGTGATCCACCCACCTTGGCCTCCCAAAGTGCTGGGATTACAGGCGTGAGCCACCGCGCCCAGGCAAGTTTGTATTTTTCTATTCCTGGGGCCTGCTGTTGCTGGGGTGCTCACAGAACAGATGCTCAATAAATAACTCAACACAGCCCTGCCTCAGCAGTCTGAGTCCTGGAAGGGACCTTGGGGACTGCCGCCTGCAGGCTCCTCAGCTATAGGGATGGCTGCTGTGCTTACAAACCAGCTTCTGCCTGGAGATGTGAGGTGCCTGCCCCAGCTCACGTGTGCCCACAGTGGGTGAAGAGGGTGACGGGGAGAGGAGTCCCGGTGTCCTGGAGAATTGAGGAGAGCTGCTATGGGAAACAACCTCGTGGGCTTTGTGATGGGCTGACAGAGGACAGGTGGGCAACAGTGTGGAGTGGGTGGGTGGTCTCACTGATGGCAGCTGTGGGAAGCAGCTGGTAGTGATGGCAGTCATGGTGACAGCTGGTGATGTTGGCGAGGGCACTGATGGCAGGGTGAAGGTGACAGCGTTGGGGATACCATAATGGCAGTGGAAATGTAGCAGTGGGAGGAGCCCCACAGGACTTTGAGTGACCCTTCTGTTCCCTAGGAAATTCTGGACCATTGCCATCCCCTGCCATTCGCACTCTCAGATCAGTTGATTCTGGCCTCTGAAAATTAATCTGCCACTATCTTGGCAATTTCTGCAGTTTCAGTTTAAAATTAAACAAGTTCAGGCCTCTGCAAGAACAGACTATTAATTCTTTGATCCTTTCAACCTGTAGGTAATTATTTCAGTAATTAAAGTATTCTATGATATGGTTTGTTGTGAAAATTGCATGGCAAATTGCCTTATAATGAAGTTTTCACACATTCCAAATTCAGCAAGCTTAATAAAGGTGCAAGCCTCTAGTGGGGTTTTTGTTGTTGTTTTTCCTTGGTTTTATTTTGGAACTAAAGGGATCTGAGAGCTCATATGAGGTAAAACCAAGCCACAGAGCTACAAGGAACAGACCTAATATTCAGCCATGAAAAGGATGAGGTTCTGACCCACACTACTATGAAATCGTCATACTAAGTGAAAGAAGGCAGACAGAAAAGATCACACATTATATGATCCCATCTATACGAAATGTCCAGAAATGGCAAATCCAGAGACAGAATGCAGGTTCACAGTTGCCTGGGGCTGGGGGAGGGGGAATGGGGAGTGACTGCTAATGGGTACCAGGTTTCCATTTGAAAATGCTCTGGGGTCAGGCACGGTGGCTCATGCCTGTAATCCCAGCACTTTGGGAGGCCGAGGCGGGCAGATCACCTGAGGTCAGGAGTTCGAGACCAGCCTGGCTAACATAGTGAAACCTTGTTTCTACTAAAAGTACAGAAAATTAGCTGGGCATGGTGGCATGTGCCTATAATCCCAGCCACTTGGGAGGCTGAGGTAGGAGAATGCTTGAACCCGGGAGGCGGAGGTTGCAGTGAGCCGAGATCACATCATTGCAGTCCAGCTTGGGCAACAAGAGCAAAACTCCGTCTCAAAAAGAAAAAAGAAAAAAAAGAAAATGCTCTGGAAGTAGATAGTGGTGACTTGTACAACACTGTGAATGTATTAAATAAATGCCACAGAATCATTTACTTAAAAATGATTGTTACGTGAATCTCACCTCAATTTAAAAAACAATGCAAAAGAAAAATGAGAGACAGACCAACCCAAGGTCACAAAACTACGATGCCTGGATAATAACCCTGGCCTCTATGAAAATTCATCCCCGGGGCCCTGAATCTGCCAGTTCACAGGGAGTGTTGCTTCTGAGGGGAACCAGGTCACAAGGAAAATTGCTGAGAATTCAGAGAAGCTGCTTCATTCCAAATCCTCACCCTGGCAAAGACTGCAGAGTCCGCGCTGTGGGGCGGCCAGTCCTGGGCTCAGCTCCCAGCTCCCCCATCTGCCTGGACCTTGGGCACATCTCTCATCGCTGGAACCTTCACTGTCCTCACGGGGAAAATGGAGTGGGCCACATTTTCTACCCCAGAGCAACAATGGGAGCATGATGTGAGTGAAGTATGAAGAGCGCTTAGCACAGGGCTGGCCTGCGGTACATGGGAATAAAAAAGCTCCCTGACTCCTGGGACCACCTTCCCTTGGCTCAACTCTGTCCTGTCATTCATGGCTTCCTTGGGCCCTGAATCACCCCCTGTATTCTCTCCCTTGGTGGTGCCATCCCATGTAAGAAGGGACCGCAGTTAACAATATATCAAGCACCTTGGCCATCTCAAACCACTCAAGAAAGGGATCCCAGGAGCTTCCTGGATGCCGATCCTACCTGCAGAAACCACAACCTCTGAGCCTCCCCACCTACTCCAGTGTGGCCTCACTGCTGCCACTGAGTCCCTCTACAAATCTGATCCCCCACCCACACACTTAGAGCTTTCAAAGTTACCCCACAACCCGTGGATGACCTTCCCTGGCCTCTTCTCTTGCCAATTGCCTGCTGGCAGCACCCACACCCAATCCACGTGCACCCTTCTCAATTCCTCCAATGCTGCAAGTCCTTGGCAAAGGAAGCCCTTCTACCTGGAAGCCTCCCACGCCATCCATCCACGGGGTTCACTCCTGCTCAGCATGCAGGTGTCACCTCCTCCAACTCCAGTCCCTGATCAGTCCCCCACCCCCAGGACCTCTCAAAGCCTCCCTCCTCCCTGAGGAGGGCTTCTCTCCATCTGTAACCAATGTGTGTCTCAGTGACGGCTCCCATCATTCCTGCCTCTCTGCAGCCTGCCAGATCCTCAATGAGGGCGAAGATGTGTCTGCCACATTTGTCACTGTACACAGCAGGTGCTCAATAAGTGACTGTTGGGTAGGTGAATAAACACCTCCACTCACTTTATGACAGGCATTTGTCTTTTTCCCCAGCAGGAGTGTCTCTGGGGGTCCCAGCTCAGGGGCCAGTCCCCAGCCCTAAGCCCAGGGAGGAGGGGAACATCCTGAGGGGGCGGCCCAGGGCTCCCCTTGCAGCTGCAAGGAAGCTGGTTCCTTCCTTCTGCTCCTGAAATTGAGGGTTTGGGATTTCAACCCCCAACAACTTAATAGCATGTTTCCTTTCCCATCACAGCCACAGAGGAGCTGGGCCGCCAGGCGCTCTGGCATGTCAGCTCTCTTGCTTCGCTGCTTTCAGCCACACAAGAGTGGGGAAAAAAAAGACCAAAATAATTTTTTTAAATCTTTTACCCTGGAATAAAGTCAGTGATAGAAGATGCAAGGGCTGCATTTCTCTGCTTCCAGAAGAGGGACAGGCTCTAAGGAGGGACAGGTCTATTTTGTTTGGGGACACCTGCAGTAGCATCCTCCAAATGCCCACCTTTGAGAACTGTGTGCTTCCCTGTGGTCCCCAGGCCTGTGCCCTCCCAGGACTTGAATGGACTTCTAGGAACCCAGACATAGGCTCTGCCATGTTGGGGTTGGGGATGGGGTCTAGAGAGAGCTGACCAGACTCCACTTGCATTTGTCCTTCAAAATCAGAAATGTCTTTCTAGACCATGTATGGTGGCTCACACCTGTAATCACAGCACTTTGGGAGGCCAAGATGGGAGGATCACTTGAGACCAGGAATTCGAGACCAGCCTGGGCAACATAGCAAGATCCTATCTCTTAAAAAAATAATAAAAGCCCTTCTAAATGGCAGGACATGGCCAGGCAGAGTGGCTCATGCCTGTAATCCCAGCACTTTGGGAGGCTGAGATGGGTGGATCACTTGAGGTCAGGAGTTTGAGACCAGCCTGCCCAATATGGTGAAACCTATTCTCTACCAAAAATACAAAAATTAGCCAGGTGTGGTGGCGGGTGCCTGTAATCCCAGCTACTTGGGAGGCTGAGGCAGGAGGATAGCTTGAACCCAGGAAGCAGAGGTTGCAGTGAGCTGAGATCATGCCACTGCACTCCAGCCTGGGTGACAGAGCAAGACTCTGTCTCAAACCAATCAATCAATCAGTCAATGGCAGGACAGTTGGCCGGGCACGGTGGCTAAGACCTGTAATCCTGGCACTTTGGGAGGCTGAGGTGGGTGAATCACCTGAGGTCAGGGGTTCAAGACCAGCCTGACCAACATAGTGAAACCCTGTCTCTACTAAAAATGCAAAATTAGCCAGGTGTGGTGGCAGGCGCCTATAATCCCAGCTACTTGGGAGGCTGAGGCAGGAGAATTGCTTGAACTCCATAGAAAGTTCAGTTCCCTTCGCTCGTCTGTGAGGACCACCCCAGCTCTGCTTTCTCCCTGCAACCACACCTGGAGGCTATCAGCAGTGGGCTAAGGCCAGGACAGCCAGGTATTTTGGGTATCACTCCACAAGAGAGACTGAGGCCCCCAGCAGGATGGGTCTCCATGAGGCAGGGGAGCCTCTGGCACTGAGTGTTCGCAGAGTGAACGGATGAGTGTTCTTTCTGTCTCTGTTATTTACCCTTTATTTACTTTGTGTGTGGTAAAATTTGCATAACGTAAAATATACCATTTTAAAGTTGGCATAAAATTTAGTGGCATTAAGTCCATTCACGAGGTTGTGTAACCATCACCACTATAATTCCAGAACATTTTCATCTCCTCAAATGGAAACACTTCCCACCTGTGGCAGCCGCCAATCTGCTTCCTGTCTCTATGGATTTGCCTGTCCTTAGACGTTTTGTATCAATGGAATCTTACACTCTGGCCTTTTGTGTCTGGCTTCTTTCCCTCAGCACCATGTTTTCAAGGTTCATTCACATTGTGGCATGGATCAGCACTTCTTTGCTTTTGATGTTGGAATCATATTCCACTGTACGGATAGAACACATTCGATTTCACACTCATCCATTGGTGGACCCTTTCCTTTTGGATCATGACTCTTTTCTCCCTGACAACTTGAGATCTGCCTGCCACATGCCCAGTGCAGTACAGGGTCCCCGGCACGTGGTAGGTGCTGGGCAAACACTCATAGAATGAATGAGGCAGTGGCCAAATGGGCTCAGCCTGGCCGCCTGCCTCACATTCCCTGATGGCTCTCCTGCCAGCTCTGGGCATCCCGGACTCCTGTCCCACTTACCTGAAACCTGTGGGAGCTGAACAGTTTCCTCAACGTGCCCCTGAAGTCAAGGGGGGCCCTGGGCGCGGGGCCAGGGGCAGGGGCAGCGTCAGGGCCTGCAACTCTGCCTTCCTCGCCCGAGGCTGGTGTGGGTGGCGGCTGTTCCTCCTCCTCCTCGTCCTCTTCATTCTCCCATTTCTTGTAGTTGATGTTCCAGGCATGGTAGTCGTCCCCTACGACCGTGAAGTGCTTTAAGAACTTGCTCATCCTCTCAGCGGGAGCCACCTTGGCCCTGCGGGTGACTGCCTAGAGGGCGGGGACAGAGAGCAGGAGCTTCAGGCAGGTGGCTCTGGGGCCCTCTGGGCCACTCAGAGCCCACATGGCCCAGGCCGGGCCAGGCCACTGCAGGTGAAGATGGTCCCGGGTGCTCAGAAACCCCTGCGAGCAGAGACCATGAGGTCACGGTGGTTTCTCGTGCTTTTATTTTTGGAATCCAGGGTCTCGGTGTCTATGAGGCAACAGGAAACTCCTGCCCCCAGCAGGCCTGTCGCTGTGGTCTGGTTGGTGGTAACCAACGGAATCAGTACTGCAGCCTGGTCCCAAAACACCCGCTACAGGCCCACGTGTGAATACCGGAAGGGCCGCCCCAAGGTTCAGAGACATCACAACCTGGAAACTGGAGGGGCCAGTGGGCAGGGCGTGGGGAGGGGAAGCCAAAAGTAAAAGTACCCAGAGTTTCACAGAGAAGTCATGAGATCCCCACCCATCACGCCACACATCATGACAGGCGCGTGGCAGATGGACATTTTCCAAGTTCAGCCAGCGTTATTCACACAGACAGTTATTTAAAGCAAAAGCAAATATCCCTGTGCCCTTTCTCCACTTTACCCACTTGCCCTACCAGGTATCAAATTTTACGTAAAGTTAAATAATTGAAATGTATAGGTATGAGTGCAAGAGCAGGCTACATGACTACTCATTGGGACTACTCCTACCTCATTGGGAAGAGAGAGCCCAATGTCCCTGAGGGAGCCTAGAGGAGATGGGGTGGCAGTCCAGACTCACGAGAAAGAAAGGCTGGAGAGGCTGGGACACCTGGCTTTCTCAATAGGAAAAAAAATCCATTCCCCACCTTGCCCCCGACACAGAATACATCTGAGATGCACTTTCATCAATGTGTAAAGTGTATTTAAAAAGGAACAACTTAAGTCTTAAGCCAGTAACTTCATGAGCTTAGGATAGGGAAGATTGCTTAAATAACACAAAACACCACAAAATAGTTTTTTTTTAAAAAACACTATTTTTTTTTTTGAAACACCGCTGGGCGCGGTGGCTCATGCCTGTAATCCCAGCACTCATCCCATGGGCTAAGGCAAGTGGATTGCCTGAGGTCAGGAGTTTGAGACCAGCCCGGCCAACACGGCGAGACCCCATCTCTACAAAAAATACAAAAATCAGCTGGGTATGGTGGCGCATGCCTGTAATCCCAGCTACTGAGAAGGCTGAGGCCCCAGAATCGCTTGAAGCTGGGAGGCAGAGGTTGCAGTGAGCTGAGATCACGCCACTGCACTTCAGCCTGGGCGACAGGTTGAGACCTGTCTCAAAACACAAACGAACAACACAAAAGCAAACACAAAATCCATAGATTTGACCGCATCAAAACTATAAACTTTACTATGACACACACACACACACACACACACACACACACACACACACACACACAACCTATGAAGTTAAAAGACATACCTCAGACTGGGACACCACAGACTGGGATAAATATTTGCCATGTATTTGATAGACAAAGACTTAGTAACCAGAATATATAAAGAAATCTTATAAACCAAAAAGAGAAAGAAGAACTCCATGGAAAACTGGGCAGTGGACGTTAACAGGCAGGTCATGTAAGAGAAAACTCAAATAGCCAAGATGCTTATCCCCAATAATACTCAGAAAAACGCAGAGTGAAGTAACAACAGCACATCTTTTCACTCCTCAGGTTGGCAAGAGTCTTAAAATCTATATCAAATATTGGTGAGGGCGTGAAGCAATGGCGTCTCTTGACTACTGAAGTTCTATAGGCACCAGCACCATCGTTTTGAGGAGAAATTTGGCATGATCTTGTCAAGCTGAAATTGTGCGTATCTTTCTGAATGATCTAGTGATTCTATCCCTACATAGGGTCCAAAGAGAAACTTGGGCACATGTGCGCAAATTGGTGACATGTTCAAAAACGTTTATTGCAAATATTCACGTAGTTGGGCAGGTGTGGTAGCTCACACCTGTAATCCCCACACTTTGGAAGGCTGAGGTGGGAGGACTGCTTGAGCCCAGGAGCTGAGACCAGCCTGGGCAATATGGCAAGACCCTGTCTCTAGAAAAATAATAAAAAAAAATTATCCAGGCAGGGTAGCACACCTGTAGTCCCAGTTACTTGGGAGGCTGAGGCAGGAGGATTGCTTGAGCTTGGGAGGACGAGGCTGCAGTAAGCCATGTTCTCCAGCCTGGGCAACAGAGCAAGACTCTGTCTCAAAAAAGAAAAAGAAAATTCACCTAAATGTGGGAGATAGAGGAATGAATATTCTCTGTTCATGTGATGGGACACTATACAGCAGTTAAAATGAATTAACTGCATCTCAGTATGTCACTGGTGATGCCCATGTGTACCCACTCGGCAGCACTGAACACGGTAGACCAATCACTTCTTTCTTCAAACACTTCCTTCAGTGGCTTCTAGGATGCCACAGTCTCCTGGTTTTCCTCCTACCTCAGTGGTTGTTTCCTGCTAGTTTCTTTTGGTCAGTGGATACTTTAGAGGAAGACCTTACATTTAATTTTCTTTTCTTTTCTTTTTTTAAAGAGGATCTCGCTCTATCACCCAGGTTAGATGCAGGGGTGCAATCATAGCTCACTGCAGTCTTGAATTCCTGGGCTCAAGCAATTCTCCTGCCTCAACCTCCCAGGTAGTTCAGACTATGGCACACTATACTGTATCTGGCTAATTAAAACAATTTTTTTTTTAGAGATGGGGTCTTGCTATGTTGCCCAGGCTGGTCTTAAATTCCTGGGCTAAAGCAACCTTCCAGCCTCAGCTTCTTGAGTAGTTGGGATTACAGGTACATGCCACTGTGCCTGGCTTACATTTAAGTATCAAGTACAACTGTATACCCAGCACCTAGAACAATGCCTCGCACTTAGCAGACACTCAATAATATTGAAATGTTTGTTAAGCAACAATGAATCTAGCAATGTGGATAGCTCCTAAAAAATGTTGATTATAAAAGAAAGATATGGAAGAATAAGAACAATGTCATAACACTTAAGCAAAAATGTTAAATATATGGAAAATATTATATACTGTTTTAGAATGTATAAAAGCATGAGTGTAAACATACACAAGAATGAGATTTCTGCTTCTGGCCTTATTACACTATAGAGTCACTAAACAGATTATCCCTCCTGCCATAACCAATTATAAAACTGGATAAAATATGTGAAATTTACTGTGATCCCTTAGAGAAGAAAAATGAATGAGGCACACCCCACAATCACCCTGCCTTTGTGCCTGGAGGTACTTTCTGGACTGTGAAGGCAAAGACTAGAGTTCAAAGCTATTGAGGCTCCCTCCCTCGGGAATCTGCATGGCAATGTACCAGAAATAGGAAAGCTATGCAAAGGAGGAGATCCAAAAATATGGACTTTGGCTGAGTCCTAAACATCGTGTATATGGAACAAGATTTCATGAGGCAGGGAAAAATATAACTTTCAGGAAAAAAAAACCCAAAAAACCTTGGGGTGCTGTGAGCTGAACAACGACCAGAGATTACATAGGACTGGGTTGGGAGATATGTGAGTTCCCAACAGCCAGAGTAGAGAGACCTTATTGAACACCCTAAGCATTCAGCAGAAATCCCAGAAAAATCATGGCCTTATAAGTAGACCTAATCTAGCTTTATAGGAAGGGCCACATTACACTCATCCCAACAAAGCTTAAAAATAAGCCTTGAAATGAACAAGCTGATACCCAGGTAAATTAACTGCCTGTTGGAACAAAACTCAATACTCTATTAGGAAGACAACAACATAAACTCAACCTCATAGATGCATACTGTCTGGCATACAATAAAAATTACTAGACAGATAAAGCTGAAAAATGTGGCCCACAACTAATAGAAAAATCAGCTAATAGAAGACTCAGAATAGTTGGGTGCGGTGGCTCACGCCTGTAATCCCAGCACTTTGGGAGGCTGAGGTGGGCAGATCACCTAAGGTCGGGAGTTCGAGACCAACCTGACCAACATGGAGAAACCTCATCTCTACCAAAAATACAAAATTAGCTGGGCATGGTGGCACATGTCTCTAATCCCAGCTACTCGGGAGGCTGTGGCAAGAGAATTGCTTGAACCCAGGAAGCAGAGGTTGCGGTAAGCCGAGATTGCGCCATTGCACTCCAGCCTGGGCAATAAGAGTGAAACTCCATCTCAAAAAAAAAAAAAAAAAAAAAAAAAAAAAAAAAAAAAAAAGACTAAAAGTGGATAGAAATGATAGAACTGGCCAACAAAGACTTGAAAACAGATATTACAAAAATATATTCAAGAATTTCAAAGAAAACATAAACTTAATGAGGGAACAAATAAAAATCTTAATAGAGAAATGGAATCTACAAAAAAGATCCAGATGGCTGAGCATGGTGGCTCACTCCTGTAATCCCAGCAGTTTGGGAGGCCGAGGTGGGCGGATCACCTGAGGTCAGGAGTTTGAGACCAGCCTGACCAACATGGAGAAACCCCATCTCTACTAAAAATACAAAATTAACCAGGCATCGTGGCACATGCCTGTAATCCCAGCTACTCAGGAGGCTGAGGCAGGAGAATCACTTGAACCCGAGAGAAGGAGGTTGCGGTGAGCAGAGATTGCACCATTGCACGCCAGCCTAGGCAACAAAAGTGAAACTCCATCCCACAAAAAAAGAAGGGGGAAAAAAAAAACCAACCCTGATCCAGATGGATATTTTAGAACTGAAAAGTATATATATGAAATGAAAAATCAATGGATGGGCTTAACGACTTATAACATATTACCAAAGAAAAGATCAACGAACTTAAAGACATGGCAATAGAAAACATCAACTGGAAACACAGGGAGAAAAAAAAGCTGAAAGGAAAAATAAACAGAGCCCCAGGGACCATATCTACTAGTTTAACATATGTGTACCTGTAGTTCATGGCCCTCCAGGAATCGGCATCTCTCCTTCCCCACAGCTTCCTCGCCACACTCCAGCAACTCTTCTACCCCTCTGATGCTCCACACTGAACCATCATGCAGGCTGTTCCCTCAACCTGGAATGCTCTTCTCCCCACTCCGAGCTTCGCTTACTCTTACTTCTGCTTGAAACTTCAGCTAAAATGTTAGTTCCTCAGAAAGACCCTCCCTGACCCTAAAATCTAAATCAGTTCCCCTTCCATTTATAACTTCTCTTCCCACTTTTCCTTTGAGAGCCCTTATGCTAGTTTCTAACTAGAAACTGTTTTGTGCAGTCATATATTTATTCCTTCTCCCTCCTCACTAGCATTTACCCTCCATGAAGTCAGGGTCTGTGTCCCCCAATTCTTGTGTGACATATGACCTTGAGCAGAAGCCCATCATGCACCTGTTGGCTGAGGGCACTGATACCTCATCTCCCACGCTGGGCTCATCTCAGCCAGACCAAATGTCTCTGAACTCCCAGGGCTGGCCACGGCCAGGGCCAGGGTATACTTAAGCTCTCCAGGCAGCCACCGGCCATAACTCCTTCTTTTTTTTTTTTTTTTTTTTGAGATGAAGTCTTGTTCTCATCCCCCAGGCTGGAGTGCAGTAGCACGATCTCAGCTCACTGCAACCTCCGCCTCCCAGGTTCAAGCGATTCTCCTGCCTCAGCCTCCCAAGTAGCTGGGATTACAGGTGCCTGCCACCATGCCTGGCTAATTTTTGTAAGTTTAGTAGAGATGGGGTTTCACCATGTTGGCCAAGCTGGTCTCGAACTCCTGGCCTCAGGTGATCCACCCGCCTCGGCCTCCCAAAGTGCTGGGATTACAGGTGTGAGCCACCGTGCCTGGCCATAATTCCCTTTTTTGAGACAAGTTCTCACTCTGTCACCCAGGCTGGAGTGTAGTGTGCAATCACGGTTCACCACAGCCTTGACCTCCCGGGATCAAGCGATCTTCCCACAAAAGCCTCTGAGTAGCTGGAACTACAGGCACATACCATCACACTTGGCTAATTTTTTATTTTTTGGTTTTTTTTGTAGAGGCAGGGTTTTGCTATGTTGCCCAGGCTGGTCTCAAACTCCTGGGCTCAAGTGATCCACCCGCCTCGGCCTCCCAAAGCACTGGGATTACAGGCATGGGCCACCGCGCCTGACTCCATACTTTCCTTTGGAAACACCTTACCTGGCAGACAAGAGCAGCCTGTCCTATTTCTCAGTAGGGTGGGAACCTCAAGGTACTTTGCAAAAACCGCATTTATATTTTACAGAAGAGGAAATTTTTCTTTCTGAAACCTTGCAACCAGTGAAGAAGCAACTTTTAGTAATTTGGGATGAAAATATCTAGGGCACTCAGCAGAGCAGAAAACATTTCTGGTTTTCAGTCAAGAGTCTGTCATTCCAGAAGCAGAAAAGTTCCAGAAAAGGGCAAAGATAGGGCTAATCAAGAGAATGTGGTGGGCCTCAGCAGCTTCACCATGCACCCCGGACTCCTGGCATTCATGGACAGACTGATCCAGTGTGGCGCACAGAGCACCTACCTTGGTGCCTGGCTCGGAGCAGCCCCCAGCTCTGGAAGTGCCAGCTATGATTATCCCTTAACAACAAAAATTCGCCTGGGCGCGGTGGCTCACACCTGCAATTCCAGCACTTTGGGAGGCCGAGATGGGCGGATCACTTGAGGTCAAGAGTTTGAGACCAGCCTGACCAATGTGGCAAAACCCCATCTCTATTAAAAACACAAAAAACAGCCAGGCGTGGTGGTGGGCACCTGTAATCCCAGCTACTTGGGAGGCTAAGGCACGAGAATTACTTGAATCCAGGAGGCAGAGGTTGCAGTGAGCCAAGATCACGCCACTGCACCCCAGCCTGGACGACAGAGTGAGACTGTCTCAAAAAAAGAAAACAAAAAATCCTCAAACTCCTCTCCTCCAGCTTCATCACATCCTTGGATATTTCACTTCTCTGCCCACTGCCTGCCTCTGCATCCCTCAGGCGTTAAGTTACATGAGCGGATACAGCCGCTTTGTGGCTTAAGTGACACTGAGCTATGTTTCTGTCACTTATAACCCCAAAAGTCTACAGGTGGAGTTGCTGATGTGGGACACCCTCACAGCTCCATCTCCTGTGCAAGACTCCTTGCTGTCCCCACTGTACTCTGATGCTCCTCTGAGGTCACCTTTCCATATCAAAGCCTGTGACCGTGACTCCAGCCTGCCTGACTGTCCCATACTCTTTGACGCTGTTGAATCTGCTCTGCTTGGCAATCTCGCCCCCTGCTTCTCCTCCTATCTCTGGCTGCCCTCCTCAGCCTCCTGTACCATGTCCCTGCCCCGCACCAGGAGTCCTGGTGACCTCAGTCCTGACCCTGTCCTCGGGCCGGTGACTCTCTCTCTTTGGGGGTCTTAGCACACCTGTGTTTTCGATGCGGTTCACATTCAAATCAAAGACTCCAATCTGATGTTCAAGATCCTGCTGGGTCATTGGTTTGCTGTGACCCACTTGAACTGATTTCTTACCTTTCTCTCCCAGTCCACTCCTCCTTCCACATCCCCTAGGGCATGCTGTCACTTCCACCTGTCTGCCCAGGCCAAGAACAGAAAATCGTCCTTGGCTCCTCCCTCTCCCTCACACCCTATCGGTTTCACTTCCTGAACCCGGCTGGCACTCCATCGTCCCCTCTCCCTCCCCAGAGCCTGCCCTGACCCTCCCTCCACCTCCCTGTGGCCAGGGTCCTCCTTCTCCAATGCCAACCTGACTGTGTCCTTGCTGTGCAGCAATCCCCACGCCCACAACTGCCTTTGGGATCAAGTCCCAGCTCTCTTGGCTTCCCCAGACCCTGGTCTCCCTGCCAGCCTTATTCCTTCCTAGCACCCTGCCTCTGCCACCCTCCAGCCACATGGAACTTGTAGTTCTAGAGCGGACCATGCTCTCTTGCTTCCAGGACTCCGCATGGCCTGTCCCCATCCCATCTATCTTCCAGGTCTTATACCTAGATTTTACCTTCCCTGGGAGGCCTTCCTTAATTTTCCCTCATCCCGGTTAGGGTGTACGTCACACCATCTTAACAACTACTGGGACACTGTCCCCACCACACTGGGCTGCGAACGCTGGGAGGGCAGAGACTCTTCCTCAGTCACAGGGAGAGGCTCAAGAAATGGTTAAGAGGCTGGGCATGGTGGCGCATGCCTGTAATCCTAGCACTTTGGGAGGCCGAGGTGGGCAGATCACCTGATGTCAGGAGCTGGAGACCAGCCTGACCAACAGGGTGAAACCCCATCTCTACTAAAAATACAAAAATTAGCCGGGCGTGGTGGCGCATGCCTTTAGTCCCAGCTACTTGGGAGGCTGAGGCTGCAGTGAGCCAAGATCGCGCCACTGCACTCCAGTCTGGGTGACAGAGCGAGACTCCATCTCAAAAAAAAAAAAAAAAAAAGAAAGAAATGGTTAATAAATGAATGAATGAACAAAATCTTAGGCACTGCTCCTTCAGGGTAAACATATTGCTGACCTCTCTTACAGGTATTAGACCAGAAAAACTACCACCAGGGAGAGAAGGGGAAAGTGAAGAAGACAGACCTAGAAGTGAAGGAGAGAAAAGCATTTTGTGGATGCCTATTTTTACAGGCTCGGAAGCTGCCATCTGTGGGAGGGGGAAAGTCCCTAGTTCATTATTATCCAACAATTGGAGAAAAAGGTACTTTTTAAGAAAGTCAGCCAACTCCCAATTCCCATGGCCTGATGTCCCTTCAGTTTCTATTTCCCTGTTCCCTCCCAGAGCTATTTTTGGGGACTTGATTTGCATATTAACTACCACCCTCACCCCAAAACTCCAACACACAATGGCAGCAACGTGTATTAGTATGGTTGCTTATTTTATCACATCTCATATCATCTCCGCATGCTGCTAACTTCCTTCCACGCACTATTTCATTTCAACTCCTAACAACCCTGAGGTTGAGGCCATCCTCTAGGGTCCTGATGATGGGGGGCCTTGTCCAAGCTCACACACCGTGGGGAACTGGAAAAGCAGGATCTGCCCCTGGGCTCCATGACTTGGAGACTATGTTCTAGAAAACACAGCTGACAGAAAGCCAGGCAGCCAGTGACCGGAGAGCCACCTGCTCAGAGGGTAGAGTAGGTGGAATCGTGCACACCCCCCCAACAATTCCTGTCCCCCTGGAACCTTAGAATGTGACCTTATTTGGAATGTAGGTCTTTGCAGATGTAACTAAAGATGTTAAGATGAAATCATACTGGATTTAGGGTAGGCCCTAAATCCGGTGACTGGTGTCCTTATAAAAAGAGAAAAGGGGCTAGGCACGTTAGCTCACGCCTGTAATCCCAGCACTTTGGGAGGCCGAGGTGGGTGGACCACTTGAGGTCACGAGTTCAAGACCAGCATGGCTAACATGGCGAAACCCCGTCTCTACTAAAAGTACAAAAATTGGCCGGGCGCGGTAGCTCACGCCTGTAATCCCAGCACTTTGGGAGGCCAGGGTGGGCAGATCGCCTGAGGTCAGGAGTTCGAGACCAGCCTGGCCAACACAGTGAAAACCTGTCTCTACTAAAAATACAAAAATTAGCTGGGCGTGGTGGTGGGCACCTGTAATCCTAGCTACTCAGGAGGCTGAAGCAGGAGAATCGCTTGAACTCAAGAGGCTGCAGTGAGCCGAGATCATGCCACTGCACTCCAGCCGGGGCGTTAGAGCAAGACTCTGTGTCAAAAATAATCATAATAATAAAATAATAAATAATAATTAAAAATAAATAAAATAATTAACCAGGCGTGGTGGCAGGCGCCTGTAATCCTAGCTACTAAGGAGGTTGCAGCGAGCCGAGATCATGCTATTGCACTCCAGCCTGGGAGACTGAATGAGACTTGGTCTCCAAAAAAAAAAAAAAAAAGAGAGAAAAGGACACGTAGAGGGTAAGGTCACGTGAAGTCACAGAGGTCAGAGTGATATGCCTACAAGCCAAAGACTGCCAGCAACACCAGAGGCTGGGACGGAGGCCTGGGACAGATCTTCCCATCCCAAAGCCTCCAGGAGCCAGTCCTGCCAACACCTTGAGTTTGGGCTTCTGGTTTTTGGAACTGGTGAGAATGAGTTCCTGTTGTTGAAGCCCCCAGTTTGTAGCAGTTTGTTACAGTAGTCACAGGAAACCAGGACAGAGGACGTGTGCCCGAGTTAGCCAGGGTAGTCTGTAGACCAAGTACTGTTTTTCCCTTTATGTTTCTGGGCCACACGTTTGTCCTGGACTCCAAGAAGAAAGCCGACCTCTTCAGGGCCCAAAACCACTTGGAGAAAGCCTGATTCTGCAGCCAACAACAGCGACAGCTGCTCCTTTTACTCAGAGCTCACTGATCACACCACCTGCTGTTGCTTGATACTTTTAAGGTGCCTAAGTAGTAGGCAGGGCGGGTAGGTGCAGTCTCTCCATTTTGTAGAAGGGGAAACTGAGGCCTGGGGAGGCAAGACCGCTTGCCTGAAGTCACACCGTGCCACACATTGTGGCAGGGTGACAGAAGCAGAGGGAAGTGGACACTCCTGTATGCCAGCTGTTGGGCATGTAAATGGGTATACCCTTCCTAGGAGGGTAACAGGGCAGTTCCTTTCATCTTTTGAAAAAAATATTTGAGTCTCTCTGATGTGCCAGACTTGGGGACAAAGGAGGGGATTGGCCCTAAACCAATTTATATCAAAATTTTATTTCCTTTTTATTGAGATGGGATCTCATTTTGTTGTTCAGGCTGGAGTGCAGCCTCAAACTCCTGGGCTCAAGCAATCCTCCCGCCTCAGCCTCCCAAGTAGCTAGGACTACAGGTGCGTGCCACCATGGCTACCTTATTTTCTATCAACATTTAAAATGCCCTTATCGCCTGACTTGACAGGAGACCCCACGTGCACACGGGTGCTCGCTCCAGTCCTGCTTCAATAGCCCAAAACTAGAAACCACCTCAAAGTCTGTTACCCAGGACGCCATGGAAGACCCACACCACAGAGCACCTCGCCACCGTGTGGCCGGCCTGCAGACCTCATGCACCGACAGGGAAAGGGGTCCTCAATCTACATTTATGGGAAAACTGACAAAATCAGCCCCAACTCCCAGGAGGAGAGAGGGACTGGGTTGGTGGGTGAAACTTTGCATTTTTTTCTAATAGGTTTGGCTGATACCAAACCTATTAGATATGATTTGGTTTGGCTGTGTCCCCTCCCAAATCTCAACTTGAATGATATCTCCCAGAATTCCCATGAGTTGTGGGAGGGACCCAGGGGGAGGTAATTGAATCACAGGGGCCAATCTTTCCCATGTGATTCTCGTGATAGTGAACCAGTTTCACAAGATCTGATGGGTTTATCAGGGGTTTCTGCTTTTGCTTCTAATTTTCTCTTGCTGCCACCACGTAAGAAGTGCCTTTCACCTCTGCCATGATTCTGAGGCCTCCCCAGCCATGTGGAACTGTAAGTCCAATTAAACCTCTTTCTTCCTAGTCTCAGGTATGTCTTTATCAGCAGTGTGAAAACTAATACAGTAAATTGGTACCAGTAGAGTGGGACATTGCTGAAAAGATATCCGAAAATGTGGAACCAACTTTGGAACTGGGTATCAGGCAGAGGTTGGAATAGTTTGGAGGGCTCAGAAGACGACAGGAAAATGTGGGAAAGTGTGGAACTTCCTGGAGACTCGTAAATGACTTTGCCCAAAACGCTGATAGTGATCTGGACAATAAGGTCCAGGCTGAGGTGGTCTCAGATGGAGATGAGGAACTTTTTGGCAACTGGAGTAAAGGTGACTTTTGGTATGTTTTAGCAAAGAGCTGGCAGCATTTTGCCCCTGCCATAGAGATTTGTGGAGCTTTGAACTTGAGAAAGATGATTTCGGGTATCTGGCAGAAGAAATTTCTAAGCAGCAAAGCATTCAATGCCTGCTATTAAAGGCATTCAGTTGCATAAGGGAAGCAAAGCATAAAAGTTTGGAAAATTTGCAGCCTGATGATGTGATAGAAAAGAAAAACCCATTTTTCTGAGGAGAAATTCAAGCCAGCTACAGAAATTTGCATAAGTAGCAGGGAGCCTAATGTTAACCACCAGGACCTTGGGAAAAAGTCTCCAGGCCATGTCAGAGACCTTCACAGTGGCCCCTCCCATCAGAGGCCCGGAGGCCCAGGAGAAAAAATGGTTTCATGGGCCTAGGGACTTGGTGCCCTGTGTCCAGCTGCTCCAGCTATAGCTGAAAGGGGTCAACGTACAGCTCAGGCTGTGGCTTCAGAGGGTGGAAGCCCCAAGCTTTGGCAGCTTCCACATGGTGGTGAGCCTGCAGATGCACAGAAGTCAAGAATTGAGGTTTGGGAACCTCCGCCTAGATTTCAGAAGATGTTTGCAAATGCCTGGATGCCCAGCCAAAAATTTACTGCAGGGGCAGGGCCCTCATGGAGAGCCTCTGCTAGGGCAGCGCGGAAGGGAAATGTGGGGTGGGAGCACCTTCTGGGGCATCACCTAGTAGAGTTGTGAGAGAAGAGGGCCATAGTCCTCCAGACCCCAGAATTGTAGATCCACCAATAGCTTGCACCATATAGCTGGAAAAGTCGCAGACACTCAACCTCAGCCCATGAAAGCAGCCAGAAGGTGGGTTATAACCTGCAAAACCACAGGGGCGGGGCTGCCCAAGACTATGGGAACCTACCTCTTGCATCAGCCTGACCTGGATGTGAGACATGGAGTCAAAGGAGATCATTTTGAAGTCTTAGAATTTGACTGCCCTGCTGGATTTCAAACTTGCATGGACCTTGTACCTCCTTTGTTTTGGCCAATTTCTCCCATTAGGAACAGCTGTATTTACTCAATTCCTGTACCCCCATTGCATCTAGGAAGTAACTAGCTTGCTTTTGATTTTTACAGGCTCATAGGCAAAAGGACTTGCCTTGTCTCAGATGAGACTTTGGACTGTGGACTTTTGGGTTAATGCTGAGATGAGTTAAGACTTTGGGGGACTGTTAGGAAGGCGTGATTGGTTTCAAAATGTGAGGACATGAGATTTGGAGGGGTCAGGGGCAGAATGATGTAGTTTGGCTATGTCCCCACCCAAATCTCAACTTGAACTGTATCTTCCAGAATTCCCATGTGTTGTGGGAGGGACCCAGGGGGAGGTAATAGAATCATGGGGGCCAATCTTTTCCACGCTATTCTTTTGATAGAGAATAAGTCTCACAAGATCTGATGGGTTTATCAGGGTTTCTGCTTTTGCTTCTCTCTCATCATTGCTGCCACCATGTAAGTGCCTTTTGTCTCCCGCCATGATTCTGAGACCTTGCCAGCCATGTGGAACTATAAGTCCAATTAAACCTCTTTTTCTTTCCAGTCTCAGGTATGTTTTTATCAGCAGCATGAAAACAAATACAACGTTTATCCCTAAGAAACTGCCATTTTTGGAGTGAGATCCAGCCTGCAGGGAGTTAAGTGGTGAATGAAGTATTTAGTGAGGGTGGGAAGAGAAGGAACCAATATACTCATAACTGGAATCCCTGAATAAGGAAATTAGATTAATAGGCTAGAACAAAGATATAATTCAAGAAAACTTTTCTGATATAAAAGAGGACTTAAAAATGCCATCGTTGTAGATAAAAACTAGAAGAAATGGACAATTTCATATGATTCAACCTAATATATACCTGTTTGCTGTTTTATTATGCTATACATATGTTCATGTAGAGTTGTTAAAAAACAAACACAAGGCTGGGTGCAGTAGCTCATACCTGTAATCCCAGCACTTTGGGAGGCCAAGGCTGGTGGATCACCTGAGGTCAGGAGTTCAGGCCCAGCCTGGCCAAAATGGGGAAACCCCATCTCACTAAAAATACAAAAATTAGCCAGGCGTGGTGGCACGTGCCTGTAGTCCCAGCTACTTGGGAGTCTGAGGCAGGGGAATCACTCAAACCCGGGAGGCAGAGGTTGCAGTGAGCCAAGATTGTGCCACTGCACTCCAGCCTGGGTGACAGGGCAAGACTCCACCTCAAAATAAACAAAAAAACAAAAAAACATAAAATCATAAGTAAGTGATGAAGCCCGCACAGGAACTCAAGTCCACCAGCTTTGTTCTTTCCTCTGCCAATACGGAGAAAAAAATGGCAGAAAAGTAGATTTTTTTTTTTTTTAAGTAACAAAAATGATATTTTAAGAGATGGAACTGGGAGTGGTGACTCATGCCTGTAATCCCAGCACTTTGGGAGGCTGAGGCAGGTGGCTGGCTTGAGCCCAGGAGTTCAAGACCAGCCTGGCCAACATGGTGAAACTCTATCTCTACTAAAAATACAAAAATTAGGTGGGGGTGGGGGTGGTACATGCCTATAATCCCAGCTACTTGGGAGGCTGAGGCATGAGAATCGCTTGAACCTGGGAGATGGAGGTTGCAGTAAGCCAAGATCAAGCCATTGCACTCCAGCCAGGACAATAGAGCAAGATTCTGTCTCAATAATAATAATAATAAAATAAGAGATGGGATCAAGGTTCTGAGATACAGTCTTACCTCCCTTAGCAGAGGAGCAAACTGAGGCCTGCAACACGGTAACCACCACCTGTCAGTGGACAGTCCATAGACTTGCAGCCAGGTGTGCTGCTTCCTGGTCCAGGGTCTTAACGCCACCCAGGCAGGGCCAGGGCAGTTGTCCCCTGTCCTAGCTTCACTCACCCTCCTCTATAGCCCTATCCAGCACTAAGCCTGGTGCATTTCGGCAACTAAGTGACCCCTGATCTGCCACCTACTTCTCCCACCCTCTGCCACTGCCCTGGCCAAATCCCCACCTCACTTGGAGGCTGTCGCAGCTCCTCTCTGCTCTCTCCTTCCCTGCTGCATTCTCTATCAGCTGCAGGAGAGCATCCCTCCAAGCATGACTACATCACTCCCCGTGCAGAAAAGGGCCAGCCCAGCAGGCCTGAGGCTGCCTTCCTCAGACAGGCCTGCCTAGCCTCCACTGGCATCTGGGAACGTGGACTTCTGGAAAATTCCCACCATTCCCTGATAAGAGCAGCTCACTGTGCCTAGACTGCTTGTGGAAACAGCATGGTTTATGCTGAACTCCTACTTTCCTTTGGAGAGTCTGGAACTTTTCTAAGTGCCAGGCAGAGGGTGCCTCTGTGCCCAGCTCCAGTGAAAACTCTGGGCATTGGGTCTCTAATGAACTGCTCTGCTAGCAAACACTTCACACATCTTGTCACAACTCCCTGCTGGAGGAATTGTGACCCCTAGGACCTCTGCCTCCAACCCAGGAGAGGGCTCTGGAAGCTTGCGCCAGGTTTCTTCTGAACTTCACCCCACGTGCCTTTTCCCTTTACTGATTTTAATTTCAATCCTTTCATGGTAATTAATCTGCACCAGGAGCGCATCTGCATGCGAGTCCCACAGGTCCTCCTAGTGAGTCACTGATGCTGGGCACAGGGTCTCGGGGACCCTGACACACTCTCTTATTTAAAACTTTTGGCTGGGAGCAGTCACTCACACCTGTAATCCTTGCACTTTGGGAGGCAGAGGAGGGAGGATCCATGAGTTCAGGAGTTCAAGACCAGCCTGGGCAACAGAGTGAGACCCCCGTCTCTACAAAAAAATCTAAAAGTTAACTAGGTGTGGTGGTGCTCGCCTGCAGTCCCAGTTACTTGGGAGACTAAGAGAGGGGGATCACTTGAGCCCAGAATGTCGAGGCTGCAGTGAGCTATGATTGCGTCACTGCACTCCAGCCTGGGTGATAGAGCGAGACCTTGTCTCTTTAAAAAAAAAAAAAAAAAAGACACCAATGCCTTCCAGAAGTTCACTCCTGTTTGCACGCTGTAGCCTCTATCTGCCCAGCTGACCTTCCCTCTCACCTCTCTCCCCACTCTGGCCACACTGTCTCCTTTGAGCCTTTCATACTTGGCTGGTTTCTCCAACCACAGGGCCTTTGCACACGTGACTTCTTTTGCGTAGAATGTGCAACCCCCTCTCACCCTGTCCTCTATCTTCTTCTTCGTCCCAGCTCTCAGGAGCCAGCCAGGCCTTCCCCATCACACTCTCATGTGGCCCAACTGTTCACAGCATGACCTCTGTGCCTGGCAGACCGCAGGCTCCTGCTGAACATACCTCCTGGATGGTGGAAGCTGGAATGAAACCCCTGAACAAATCTCTTCTCTGTGGGGAGGCAAGAGGACTCCAAGCAGCAGGCTCAGCTGCCCCAGCACTTCTCCCCTCCTGCCCCAGGGGATCTGTGTTCTGAGGAAGGCCTATTTTTAAAATCAGGGAA